ATTAAAACATTTTTTTGTATAATATTTTTGCATTATATAAAAAAAAAAAATTATCCGACCATAGTTGTGGAATGAGGAGAAGCTGCTGTGATTCTCATCCCCTGAATACAAATAAAATTCTAATATATTGCGTATGGAGAGAGAAGAAGAATCAATGCCCTCCACATATGGGAAAATTATTGCGTCAGGTGACCGAACGCAGAGATGCGTTCGGTCTCTCTCTGGCTACAGTAACCTGCGCTTTACTGTAGCGGTGCTACAGTAACCTGCGCTTTACTGTAGCGGTGCTACAGTAACCTGCGCTTTACTGTAGCGGTGCTACAGTAACCTGCGCTTTACTGTAGCAGTGCTACAGTAAAGCGCAGGTTACTGTAGCCAGAGAGAGACCGAACGCATCTCTGCGTTCGGTCACCTGACGCAATAATTTTCCCATATGTGGAGGGCATTGATTCTTCTTCTCTCTCCATACGCAATATATTAGAATTTTATTTGTATTCAGGGGATGAGAATCACAGCAGCTTCTCCTCATTCCACAACTATGGTCGGATAATTTTTTTTTTTTATATAATGCAAAAATATTATACAAAAAAATGTTTTAATTTAAATGTGTAAATAGTATTTAACTTCGTTGTAGATCTAGTTAAATGTGAAAAATAAATAAATATAACAATTACTTTATAGAAGTTTAATAATTAAGGAGCTGTTTGATTTATTGTAAAAAATATGTAGAATAGAAAAAATTGTGTATTTGAAATTGTTTAGATGAGAGAAAAAAGAATGTAAGAGATTTTTTTTGTTTGGCTTGAAGTAAAATATTGAATGTAATATAAAATTAAAGTGATGATGGTGGCTTGTGGCAATGGTCGTTGGTGATGATGGGCCGATGGCTAGTGGCTGACGATGTCATTTAACGATGAGTGGCAATTGGTGATGGTGGCTGGTAGGTGGTGAGCAACACGTGGTCGAGGTGGCATCTAATTGTGACTAACGGTCAGCGAATGATGGTTGACGATTGGAGGCTGACCAACTTGTGCTACTGCTGAACATATGGTGGCCAGTTAACGACTACCAACGATGGTGCCCAGCAGATGGCTGGCGATGGTAGCGAGAGGCAGCATGTATTGTGGTTGGTGATTTGTCAACAGTTGTTGGCAGCGATGGCCGACAAACATGCCGAGGTGGAGGGCAACAATAACATAATTGGCTTACAATAAAAAAAATAAATTCCTTCAAAATTTGACAAAATTACGATATATCAAAAATACATTAAAGATTGAAAAAAAAAAAAAAAAAATTACGATATATCAAAAATACATTAAAGATTGTTTATAGTGAGTTTCTTTTTTTCTCATAAAATCAAATACCTAAATTCTTTTATTTTACATCTATTTAACAGCAAATCAAACATCCTCTAAAAATAATATCTTATAAATTCAGATTAAAAAAGAAAAAAAGAATAATCATGATATGCGACGCCCATCGTCATCACCTAATCAATCATCCGAGATTATAAAATGGAAATTTTAAATGATGCAGAGTTGACAGCCGCCAGGAAAGTTTTGCATAAATGGTAAAGTCCCCTCCCCTTATGTATATATTATTATAAATTTTCTGCTTTTGGTGAGTGGAATCCTCATCCCATCATTCGAAGATTGCGTATATCTCAAAACAATTCAAAACAAATGTAAAGCTTATCTTTCATCTAATTAGTTTACGCTGTCTGTGATTTAGTGGTCTTATTACTTTTGAATTTAATGTAATTGCCTAATTAGAAAGTAAAAAATAATGATATTTTTAGAATTTAGGGTAGTGAGCAGGTAGAATTATTACGTGCGGGATCCGAACGTAGAGTTATGTTCGGATTACAATCAAATGACTGTGTGACTAATACATATTATGTATTGACCGTGTATTAACAGTGTAGTGGTGTGTATTAGCTATGTATTGGCTAGTAGAAACTGTGTATTAGGCTATTAGTTGTGTATTTGTTGGGGACGAGGAAGGGTACACATCATAATGACGAAACAAGCAAGAAAGTAAAAACAACTGAAAAATGAAGGACATCAGGATTTAACATGAAAAAATCCAAGATAGGAAAAAAAATCGCGGAGCCACACCACACCAAAAAATCTAATATGAAAATTGGAATAAATAAGTGGATCTCTCATTTCTCTCACTCTCTCCTTGCTTCTCTTGTCACGTCTATGTTATACCTCACTGAAATACAACAAAAAGCCAATTTAAATAACCTCAAGGGACACAACACTTCATTTAAACTAGAAAGAAATCTGTCTAGTCAATCTTGCAACATTGAGACGCTAATTTGGGGCGAATCTAGACCACTACGGTGCTCCGCTCTCTATTGTTTAACGGTGGGGTGCTCGGCTACATAGTGTCGAGGTGCTGTATAACAAAAACAAAGGGGGTAACAAATTAGTCACAGTTTAACTTATTTTTGTAGGGTCCTCAGTTATTTGTCATTCTTATAGTCATTGAAATCATCGTGATAAGAAATCATTTTGACAATAATTTCATGACGTTCAAAATTTCTTAGACCTCTGAAGTTAATTTTAAAAATTAATGCCGATTCAACTCAATCTAAGATTTATTATGGACTATATAGGATTTTTTAGATCCTAATAAAATCAAAGATAATACATATTTTTAATTTTATCTTGAATAAAATTTGCTCAAATTCAACCATATGTCAACCTTCAATTTACAAATGCACAATACGGATCAAACTTGAGCAAGTCAACTCAGGTTTTACTTTTTTAGGTTGATCGGTCTCGAAAAGCAAAATAGATGAATAACATTTGCCAAATTTAGATAGCTCACATTGGTTTGTTGGTTGGGAGCTTAGGCTATCAGCCAAAAGATATTGGGTTGGAATCTTACATATGTGATGTGTGTATGAATTTGTCTTAATTTGCTTAAATATCTAAAAATATATATATATTTGACAATTTTTCTTGCCATTCCGCTATTTTTTCCCGACCATAAAAAAATTGGAAAAGATCTATATATAACTAAATGGGAACTAAGAACTATATAAAAAAGTATTTCACTAATTATTTTGTTTTAGTTGTTGAACTCATGGGAATGTAATTAAATAATGAATTAATGAAATTTGAAGTTCTCAAGCAATCTTATGAACAGACTTATTTAGATCAATAAAATTAAAGCATAAATCGACAAGAGATAGATCTTTGAAATATTTACTAATTATTATATTATATAGATAGTTTTTTTATTTTAAAAATTATATGAATTCTATGTATTTGAAAATTGAGATATCCCTATTTTATATTATAAAAATATTCAGATTTAAATTAATAATTTATATTGTTCCCTATTTAAAACAAAAAATAAAATTTAGGACTTAAATTATAGAATTTATCGAAATGAAATTAATTTTTTGATGATCAAAATCAAATTAAAATTCAAAATAAATAATTTATCTTTGATTTAAAATTAGAAAGAATAAATAATTATTTCTATAATTTTTTGTTTTTTGTAACATTTTTTAAAAATTAAAAAAATTTCTTATAATTTTCATGATAAAATAATAAATTTAGAAGGATTTTATAAAAATTATAAAAAGTAATTAATTTATTTTAGAGATATTTGTCATAACTCATAAGTCATAACTATTAATATTAATAATTTACCCGCCAGACTTAAATGAAAAAAAATAAAAAATCTAATGGCTATTTTCTACCTCGAATAGCTCGCCTGTTTCTCACGGCGTGTAACCGTCTGTGTAGCCAACTTTGTATCTCAATTCTCAAGCCAGTCGTCCTGGTCAACTTAACTGGCCGTAAGTCGTTCCTTTTAATCGGCCCTTCTCTGAGCAAATAAATCCCGAAGGCGTCAGCTCCTTAGCTCCATAGCTAGAGAGAGAACTAATCCACTCTTGTTGAAATCTGGCAAGTCTCACTACAATCAGCGATCAATTGCTGGATTATTTCTTAATCTTTCAGGGTCAGTTCTTTCATGCAAAAATGTTTTTTCACATCCTTTTCTGGATTTCATGCGGAATTTGTTCTTCCTCTTAATATCATTTTGGATTTCCTAACATTTTGATTTCATCTCCGAAAAAACTGGAATGAGCCAATCTCGAAAAGAAAGGCAAGAGGGAACGAAATCATATAATCTATGATCTGTCCTCGTATCGCATAAATAACGATGAAAATTTTATCCATTGTAGAAAGCTCTGCTTATGCCAATGCAAACCCTTGCTATCAGAGTTTTTATTGGAATTTTAGCAATCCAATGAAGAGTCCCGAAGTCGAGGAGGCAATAAGAAATGAATTGATGTTCTGACTTTTATATTTATTTTCTTTGGCTGTGAATTACTGCATGTCGACAAAAATGGGGAGGATAATGGGGGGAACCATGAACTGCTTAAATTTCTCGTGTTCATTAATTTACATTGTGTGTAATGCTTATTCATAACATTAAGGAGAACTATTTTGAATGGTAAATGTTTACTTGATTTTAATTGTATTTTTGTAGATGGGAGAAGTGGCCGAGACGTATACTGTAGATGATGCTCTGATTTCACTGGGATTTGGGAAGTTCCAAACCTTCGTGCTTATTTATTCTGGAGTTGCTTATGCTGCAGAAGCAATGGAAGTGATGATTCTGTCTTTTATTGGTTCAGCTGTTCAATCAAAGTGGAATCTTTCTCCTCATGAAAAAAGTCTTATTTCAAGCGTTGTTTTTGCTGGTATGCTTGTGGGAGCTTATTCTTGGGGTGTAGTTTCTGACAACTATGGAAGGAGGCAAGTCCTTATTACATACCTTGCTAAACTAATATATGTTCATTGGGTCTTTCAAATATCAGCTTTATGTGTTTTGAATGTCCCCGTGAATTTTGTAGTTCCAAAATGTTGAATCTGCTCTATATAATCCTGCTCTTTTACACCTGTCCGGTTATACTTTTTTTGCTTTCTGTAATTCATCCGAGCCTTTGAGGATAAGAATTAGGTCAAACAGAAGAACATAAGTGTCCCTGCAATAGCTTCTATTATTACACTTCAGTCCTTGATCTCAGTAATATCCTTCATTCATCCCTTCAATAGAAAGCCTTCAATATCTTGCCGATATATTTCGAATTCACAAGTTATAGAGAGATCTTGATGGCAGGAAAGGGAAATAAGTTTGAGTTAAATTAAAGTTCATTCCTGTTTACTGTATCATGAACTAATACTTCTATGAAATTTCCTAATGCAAGTATTTCTAATGGTGAATCTTCACCTAGTTTCTGTCATTGAAGTGAAAATAGAAAAAAGAAATGTTTGGATTGCTCTTCTGACTAAGAACTTTTAACAATAAGCATTGCTTCACAGAGAGGCTACTGGGAGCTTTGTTGAATGACTAGCATTCTGCCAAGTATAAGTTTGTGATGACTTTGGTCACAGTCATACCTTTTTCCCACTTTATATGTGTTGTTGTTGGTGTCGTTAGCTTGTCTTTTAAGAGTGAGTGTAAAAGAAAGGATAAAGTTATTGCAGTCCCTTCTTTATTGACGTGCGGCACATATTTTTCAAAAGATATTAATGAGGCAGTTGAGAAAATTGGGTTTTCCCCTGTAATTGATAACTCAACACTTTGTTGATGAAGACAAAGGCTTTGTCTGGGACAGCTTTCTTCCTGCTTCTTAAAACAATTTTTTAGTACTAGAAAGTTGCTTTAAGAAATATTAAAAAAGCCGTCCCAAATAAAGTCAAACTTGCATCTAGCTTTTATCCATTAGTTTATTTTTTTAGGGTTTTTTAAGCGTTGGATCTCTAGTATATTGATCTAAATTTGACTCATAGTAATCCTCATATCTTAATTATCTTAGCTTTGTCAAATATAAAAGGAAAAGTCTCTTTCATGTTTTTACCACCCTCCTTACATATACTCTTTTTGCAGGAAGGGATTCCTTTTTACAGCACTAGTGACTAGTGGGGTTGGCTTTCTCAGTACATTTTCCCCTAATTACATTGCTTTGGTCATCTTTCGTTTTTTTGTTGGTGTTGGATTGGGGGGAGGACCTGTTCTTTTCTCCTGGTGTCTTGAGTTCGTTCCTGCTCCTAATAGAGGTGCCTGGATGGTGGTATTTTCCTTTTTCTGGAGTATTGGCACAATCTTGGAGGCTTCGCTTGCATGGGTATGGTTCCTTTCCCAATTCCAAAAAAACTCTTTTTGTAATTTAATACTGCCTCATAGATTAGCACAAAATAAACACAACTTTTTTTTTAAAACATTCTTCACACCATTGTATAAAAAGGTGGCTAAATTACATAACCTCTTTGAAGTCTGCATGGGACTGTTTCGGATACATTTCTATTTTATTTTCTCTCTCTTAATTTTACTTATTTCAAGAAGGGGCATTTATTTTTACAGCTCCAGCAACCAAGAGCTGTGACATCACAGCTTTCAATTCACTGTGACAAACTCCTTGTGAGAAATGGAAACCTGATTGTCTCCTATTCTGTTTGGGCTATCGTTGCTTGATCCATGGGCTTGATCAAAGATAAATACCAGACTGGTTTTAATGGTTTCTGAGATAGAAGATGTAAAACCAAATTGGGTCCTAAGATATGCCATCACCTGCAATCCAACAGGACAAAATGTGTGGCTTATCAAGTTTCTTGTTTTGCTTTGGCTTTTTAAATGTGTGGCAATCCCTGGCTTAACAATCAAGTGGTGTAGACCTACGTTATACTTAAAGATGACTATCTAATGGATCATTGTAATTTTTTGCGATGTCATCACTTGATTTGGCACCATGGGATGGTTCGATTCTTGGTCTTTTAAATTCAACTAGACAATTTGAGCTAGGCCATCCATCATTTCTATATTTTTAGTGGGCTTTGAACTTTGCTCCCTAGTCTCTGCTGAGAGGGTTTTAGGGTTTTTGGGTCAAAATTTCATAAGACAAATTAGATTTAAGATAAGACATTACATAAACATTTCATTCTCATTTCGTGAGGATTTTTTGATATGGTTTCAAGTTTTTCATAGGTGCCCTCTCGATAATGAGAGAGACCTTTCGATTAAAGCTAGGGGTGTCAAATTGTGTTCACGGGTTAGGTTCGAGTCAAACCCGACTTTGACTTGATAGTTTTTTACCTGACTCGATTCGGGATTTGGGTCACTTTTCCCAACTGGAACCCTACTCGATTTAGGTTCGGATCAACCCAACCCGACCCGTAAGCAATTAGAGTAATGACATTTGCAAAATTAATTTTACATATATAAGAAACTGCAACAACAATTATGCCATGTATTGGCATTTGGCAAGGTAAAGTATACTAAAAACTTATAAGTATTGTATAAATTATTTACAAATTACAATGTTACATTTTTACATAATACATTACAATTTACACATAAACTAAAATTACATACTTAACAACTTAGAAGCATAAATTAGAAACTAAACAATCTAAAATATGAAATTATAGGTCCAACTCAATCACATTCTGCAAAAATGCTCAAGATATCATAAACCCTCCTACTCTTTAAGTTGAATTAACTGCAAAAGAAAGATGATTAAACACTTAAATTTTAAAAGTCTTAAAAAGATAAAATTCTAAATCATGAGATAGTATAACTATAAAGCTTTAAGAAATAGCTCAGGTAAACCCTCCAACTCATTCAACAACTAATGAAAAGTGAATAAATAATGAATATTTGATATTTCTAATTCTCTATTATCATATAAGGTAGCAATTTGTTTTAAACTTAATTTAGTATCTGTTAAACAATATAGTATCTGCTCTTGATCGAAGCTAACACAAATGTCACCTTGTTGCAATAGTATTTACCCCGACGACTCTCACTTTTAGTTTAGAAGGTTTCTCATCATTGCTTGAGATTTTATAGCTTTACCCTTTACCTTAATTCATCAAACATATGAAATTGATGAAGCATTAGAAGTTCAGATTCAACAACAACCCACAACCCATAGCCACAGCCACAACCCATAGGCCAACAACATTATAGCAGCCTTAGCGGGATTCAGGAAAAGAAAACAATAGCCAACAAGCTTGGGGAACAACAACCAGTGGGCAAAATAGAGACCAACAACAGACATAAAAAACACGTACAGAGAACTCAGAAATTGCCAAAAAATAGAGGAATCCTTCTAAACATGTGTAATAATTAGTAGCATCATCTAAGTAGGTATAATAAACGACAACAGTTGCACAACAATGATAGTATGTTTTGCCAATAGATTTAATCATTGGCATTTTAAATAAAATTGAATCATTGGCATTTTAAATAAAATTGTTTGATAACTAATAACAGCAGCTAAGCAGATATTATAACTGCATATAAGCATTTAAATTTTATGAATTATTGTAACTGTTGCAACCATTAAGACTTAAGCATAAGAAAAGTCCAGGAGAATTCAATATTCAACAAGTAGTTTAATTCAGCAAATCAGAAAATGCATTAGGAGCACCGCCTACTTGCACATTATCATCAAAAGGAGTACTTTCAACAACTGTGTTAGAATCCTCCATCTAACAAAGGCCATATGAAAATATTTGTTAAAGTTAATGTAAATATGAAGCTACAGTAGAGAAGCATGAGTTCAACAATATTAAAAAACTCAATCAGTCACAATAAATCATCATCAAGAGGATGAATAAGTCAACGAGCATATTACTGCTCTTCTTCGCGATCAGATTAAACATTTATGCTGATAGCTTGATACATATTTATGCTTTACCATTCATTTCACTCACCAAACCAAGATGACAAGAATTGGAGAACTATAGTTATAAGTAAATCAGATCACTGACTAAAAAAATGGGCGGCTAATAAATGAAATTTCTCTACATAAACTAAAATAAAAAGCTAAAATCCTACAAGCTTATCCTGTTATCCCTCAGCTAGATGGCCCAAATTGATGGAACATCAAGGTAAGATAGCTCGATAGGATGTAATCATATTTGAATAAAAATCATAAAGAACTAGAGGATATGTAGTAATATTTAGGATTGACATCACCTAGGGTTTCTTAATCATGCAAACACAATCTAGGATTTTTCGTTTGAGAACTCAAATATGAAAAAAAATTTGTGAAAACTCATGATAAAGACTAAAATTCTTGCTAAGAAATCATCCTATCATCCCATTATCTTGAAATTAAAAAAGCTACAAGTTGTCGATAGATGCCGGCAAAATCTGAATCCTGAAGGGGATACCTAACTACAAGGGGAAAAAAGGGGACCTGAATTCGTCGCCTGCGATCAGAGCTTAATTTCTTGAGAAATCGAACATACAACAAGCACTCAAACAAAAAGAACGCTGAACGCAGAAAGGAACAAGGGAAAGGGCACGAAACGAAATAGTAAAACTGATAGCCGTAAGACGAAACACATGCGCCCTTAACTCGCCCATAGTCCGTAATGTTAATGAAGAAATTGGATCAATATCGGGTTTTTGGGTTGACCCGACCACGACTCAAAACTAAAATCGGGTCAGATATTCGAACCCAAACCCGACCAATGTGCTAACTAGGTCGACTCGAACCCGAAATTTTTAGGTCGGGTCGGGTTTTCGGGTCATGTCAAATATTGACACCCCTAATTAAAGCTAGTCATTAGAAGCTAAGTACTTGGTATATAATAATACCAAATTTGTTATAGGATTTGAAATTTACCACCTTACGCTTATAGTAAATTATAGGGAGAATGATAATTAATCGGATTAAAATCCCATGGTTCTGTTATTATGTGTTATCATGGTCCATTGTCTATTTAATTAGAGGAGGTTGTCGACTTAACCCGATCGAAGGATTGTTATTGGCAGCCATAAGTTGTTTTGGCTAAAAGAATCTTGCAGACTTGGGGTGGATGTTCATCTAAAGAGACATTCAAGTTAATCATTGACAATAGAGGACTTTGTGCTCTATCAAGTGCACTTTATGATTCATTGTTAAGGATTTTAGCAATTGGAAACTTGTGAGTTTTGGCTGAGATCTTAATTTAATGGTACTATTTTGCAGTAAAATCATTTTGTCAAAAGGCCTTGATCATAATCTTTTATTTGTGATGCCATTCAACGACAAAATCACTAGTTTGAAGACACATGCCACATCTTTGTTGGTGTAAGATCTTTTGGAAATAAATCGTAGAGATACACTCAACAAGACGGTGGATATTTACTAGCTGAGGTTATTCCCAAATTTATCACTTTGGACAAGTGGTCGCGGAGGGTGGATGAATTTTACTTTTGAGTTTTAAAAAGGTAGATTTCGCTTAAATATTTTCTTTTTTTGGCTAGGATGTTATATTTCTTTGTAGAAATTTGAACCTCACAATAATTTGGTTTGTGACTTCGGAACATTTAAAAAATAAAATAGAGTTATTTTCAGTTGAGATTCACTATCAAAAAGGCCATCATTAGATTATTTGAATGATTTCATTTTATTATTTGAATATTATCAACTCACTCCACTTGCCAATAGAGGATCAGATTTAAGTATTTACTTTTGAGAGCTATCATACAAGTAGTAAACACAAGATTTTGCATTTATAATGAATTTTCTTTGTAAAAGTCATTGAAGCTAACATGAAGATCAGTGAATCCTCTTCTTTTATTGCCTATCTGAGCTTGCTTATATGCTCAATTTAGACAATTCATCTTGCAACCATCTTACATCATCCAACCACGACATCTTGGAGGTCATCCTCATAACTAATTGTTAAACTAGTCCACTGGACCGGTCTAGCCAGTCCAGGCGGGACCGGCTTGCGGGCGAAGCGGAGCTTTTTTCCGCCTGTAGCGGATGCTGCACAAGCCGCATGAGCTGACGGAGCCTTTTAGGAAATTTTTTTGAGGGTTTTGAGAGGGAAATTTGAATGTAGGGATTGTTTAGAGATTTCCTTTTGATTTGTATGCATTAAGTAGTTGATTTTCCTAGGATTAGGACATCTTAAATTTGGCAGAAATTTGAGATCTCCTAGATTTAGGTTTTCTTTGGGATCTAGCGGTGTCTAGAGATTTGGGAGAGATCGATCCTCCTCTCGAATTGAGGATCAACTGTATCTTGCTATTTTTCGTTTCCCTTTCATCAAGTAATTCAAATTATTTATTGTTTTGCGATTTTGTGTGGATTTTTGTGAAGAATTATCTCTATTTTTAGAAGATTGATAGGAAATACTTGCGATCTACAAGTGTTTCCTATCAAATTGGTATCAGAGCACGTCGATCAAAGGGGAACCAATGGCCGGAAGGAAAGTGGAAATTTTGGAGGGAGAACTTGGGCAACTCAAAGGAGATTTTGAGGAAAAAAATGACTTATTTTCAAAGTCAGATTGCATCCGTCAATGAAAAGATGGAGGAAAAGTTCGCCGTGGTGGAAGACTTGTTGAAGAAATTGCTTGGAGCCAAAACTAAACTGGTGACATCAGAAACAAAAGAAACTACCGGCGGCCATGGAAGAGATGGGAACCCTAACACATCTAGGGGAAGGGAAAAGCCAGAAGTGGAGATCCTGGAGGAAGAAAACGGAATGTCTCATCTAGAACCACTTTCTAGGGAGGAGATGAGCATTGGCTACACAAAAAGGTGTGTTGAATTTGTAAGGCGAGGAGATGATTTTGATCGCTGTGGTGTTGATTGTGAAAGAAGAAGAGGGGATTTCGATGAATGGTTTGGGTATTATCGCCGGAGGGAAGATCGTGACAATTGGAGAGAACCTCCACTTCGAGGAATGGGAGGTTATGGAGGATTTAGGGGAAATGGGTGTGACCCGAGGGTGAGAAACTTGAAGATGCCAATCTTTGAGGGGGAGGATGCACACAGGTGGATCTACAAGTTAGAAAGATATTTCGCTATCAATGGGTTGACAGAGGAGGAGAGATTGACGGTGGCGGGCCTATGTTTAGAAGGGATGGCTTTGTCTTGGTATCAGTGGAGGGACATGCGACGACCCATACGAAGTTGGAGAGAGTCCAAGGATTGTTTTGTAGAGCATTTCCGAACTGGCAGGGGAGGAGACTTCTACGAGCAGTTCTTTGCCTTGACACAGAAGGGTTCAATGACGAAGTACCGGGAGACATTCCAGTACCTTGCTAGCCGATTGGACCGCCTTTCTGAGACAGTGCTAGAGGGAAACTTCATGAAGGGATTGACGCCAGAGATTCGAGCAGCTGTTAGAGTAATGAGGCCTCGTGACTTGGGAGAGGCTATGGAGCTAGCTCAATTGGTAGAAGATCAGAGGCACCTGGAGGGAGAGACGGGAGGCGGCAGCTCAGGAGACTCGTACAGGATGACCACCACTTTATTGAAATCCAAGGAGCCAACACCGGATACTCTTCGAGGGACTTCGAATAAAAAGACCGCAGGAGGAAGACCTGGGGACAACTTCAAGAAGCTCACAGAGACATAATTACAGGAGAAGAGGGCGAAGGGGCTTTGTTTCAGATGTGACGAGAGGTATACGCCGTGGCACAGGTGTAAGGACCGAACTCTTCAGGTTATTACTGTTTGTGATGAAGAAGGAGTGGAGGGTGTCGTCTTTCCACCTTGCGGACAAGGTGAATCTTTGGGAGGGGAGTATTGTTAGACCGATCCACTAGACCGGTCCAGCCAGTCCAGGCAGGACCGACTTGCGGGCGAAGCGGAACTTTTTTCCGCCTGTAGCGAATGCCGCACAAGCCGCATGAGCTGACGGAGCCTTTTAGGAATTTTTTTTTAGGGTTTTGAGAGGGAAATTTGAATGTAGGGATTGTTTAGAGATTTCCTTTTGATTTGTATGCATTAAGTTGTTGATTTTCCTAGGGTTAGGGCATCTTGAATTTGGCGGAAATTTGAGATCTCCTAGATTTATGTTTTCTTTGGGCTCTAGCGGCGTCTAGAGATTTGGGAGAGAACGATACTCCTCTTGAATTGAGGATCAACTGTATCTTGCTATTTTCCATTTTCCTTTCATCAAGTAATACAAATTATCTACTGTTTTGCGATTTTGTGTGGAATTCTCATTGTTTTTAGAAGATTGATAGGAAATACTTGCGATCTACAAGTGTTTCCTTTCACTAATCTTGCCATATTTGAAGTTAGTTTTAAGACAAAATTACCCTCATTTTATTAACTTGCAAACTAGTGTAGATTAGTTACACTTGCAAACTTTCCACTACTTTTCAAAGCTTGCAGAATATTACACCCACCTTATCAAGCTTTCAATGGAGCCATGATTTATCAATGCTTATGAACTATAATGGCTTATTTAACTTCTGCAGTGTCAGCATATCCTAGTGCTTAAGAGACATCTATGCTAAGCCAACCGTTCATAGCTTGTTCTGACACTAATGAACTGCTCCTTGGTATCTAAATTCGCGAGCTCTAGCCAAGTCCCATATTTCTTGTGAATCCCTCAGAATTATCCTTGTTTCCATTAGCATTATGCCCTTAACAAAGGTAAGGCCTTCTCCAACCGAACTCCAAATGCATGAATGACGTCGCTTGCGAGCTCCAGTCGAACGGCAAAACTTCCGGTATTTGGTTGCAGGTGAACAGTGCGACGTCAATATTGGTGTTGCACTGTTCACTTGCGTTATTTTTCTGTCTCTTCAGGATTTGTCGAAGAAAAGTGCGAAGGAGAAAGACGGTTACCTGGGCGCAAAATGGAGTTCTAATGCAGTTGAATCACGCCATTTTTTGGTTACAGATTGATGTGAAACGTAATGCATGGAAACAAGAACTGCTTGGGGATTTTAATATAAGATTGTTGAAGCTTTGCTAGTTATAGAATTAATGCTTATCCAAATTAAGTTCTCGAAATTATCAAGTCGAAATTAAGTAAGGCATGTGGTTACAACTAGATTAATGGGACAATATCAAATTGATAACATAGAATCCAGGGAGGGGGCGGCGGCAAGAGCAAGGGAGGGAAGAGTGTGGGGGAAAAATTCTCGGGATCCAAAACATGAAAATCCAATCTCCCACTAGTGGCTTCAATCCAAATCTCCACAACACGAAGTGCTCAAGAGAACTAAAGAAAAATGAAAGACAAAAAAAAACCTAGAACTCACAAAGAGATATAGTTCTCCTACGAACTCACTAAGAGATCGAGGAGGGTGAACTCACAAAGAGAACACAAAGTAAATTTTTCATTTCATCAAAAAAACTTCTCTTACATGAGAAAAGGGCCATATATATAGGCTAGACCACCAAATGACAAAGAAAACAAAAGACTAAAATGCCCCTTGGGCTACAATAGCGACTAAATACCCATAAGGGCAAAAACGGAAACACATACAAATCAAATAAACCACTACATAAATGACTCAAAATAAAACTCATGATCGTGGCCGTCGATCTCCGACGTCTCCTGATGGTACATATGTCGAAATTGCTGACGATGTCCTCATCACACATTTTGGAGTGAAAAATGAGATTTTCGGTTGGAGATGCCCTAAGGGCTAGAAAAATTCATAGGATTTTTGAGACAACAAGAAAAAAACAGTTGGGTTTAGACCAGGATATGCCATCCCTTCTATTCTGTGGGAAAAGCTATAAAAGAATGTATGGGGAAACTTGTGACATTCAAATTTCTGTCGATTACTTCGTTTGTTGATTGTTCCATTTCTATACGAGTAAATTTTCGACAAGCCATTCTGTATAAAGAAAAACACATTCCAGTGCTTGTACGAGAGCAGGCAAATATCTTTACATACCTTATGAATTCTGATAATGCTAACGATTAACTGCTCCAAACTGTTTATGCAGGCAATCATGCCCACATTAGGCTGGAGGTGGTTGCTAGCGCTGTCCTCTTTGCCATCATTTCTGTTGCTTATATTTTATGCCTTCACGCCTGAATCACCAAGGTATCTCTGCATGAAAGGAAGAAAATCTGATGCATTGCGTGTTTTAGAGAGCATGGCTAGAATGAACAAGAAAGCTCTTCCTTCTGGTGAACTTACCTCTGACGGAAAGGCGGACCCTCAAGATTTTGATGAAAATACCCAACGCGCTCATGCAGAACAAGTCCACAAAGCTGGATCTTCTTTTAGTGAAGATGTGGCGTCTAAGGTCAAGTGTGTAGGTTCACTGTATAAGCTTCTAGCACCAAAGCTAATCAGAACAACTCTTCTTCTATGGATGGGCTTTTTTGGAAATGCTTTTACATATTATGGTGTTATCTTGCTAACCTCTGGATTAAGTGATGGAAATTCAAAATGTCGGTCAACAACATCGCATAATAGTACAAAAGAAGGAACCCGTCTTTACAAAGATGTGTTCATCACTAGCTTGGCTGGTAGGTTGGTTGATAGGCTTTGTTCTTTTTTTTGTTAGATTTGTAGAACTGATTTATTTTTATCATCAAGTAAGCTGATCAATAACTTAAGGTTTCTAATTTTGGCAGAGCTTCCAGGTCTTTTTTTATCAGCTGTGATTGTTGACAGGATTGGTAGAAAGCTTTCAGTTGCAACCATGCTGTTTATCACTTTTTCTTTCTTGCTTCCATTGATTTTTCATCATAAAGAATTGACTACAACAGCGCTTCTATTTTGTGCTCGGATTTGCATAACAGGAAGCATCACCACTCTTTCGATATATGCTCCAGAGGTCAGTATCTTGAGCACAATTCTTCTGTGAGAATCATTTTTTCAAACACCTGATGCTGCATTGATATCCAAATAAATGGCACTTGTAGATTTAAACTAAACAAAATAAGGAAAAAGCTTCATAATCTAATCCCCAATCAAATCAACTATTTAGAAAAATAATCAACTTCTAATCAATTACAATTATTAGCCATTAAACTTTCCAAAATAAAGTTTATTTAGATTCAAAATTATTTCCAAATCAACAATTCTATGAATCTCGTCTTAATCTCCAGACTCAGATCCACTGAGGCTTCTTGGTCTCTGAAGAGAAACAGAAACTTAATACAGTCCTCTCCATACCCTTAGAAAATTTCTCTGTTGCTGTTGAAATACCAGCACAAAATGACTTGATAAGTTGTTTTGTCTTTGAAGCAAGAAACTGCGAGATGCACTGAAGCACATGAATTCTCTTTAGCTTTGATGGCTTCAAAATATGTAAGAGTCGCTGACCTTCATTCATTTTCCTTATTTTGCAGATTTATCCTACCTCAGTAAGGAGTACAGGTTACGGAACTGCGAACTCGTTTGGGAAAATTGGTGGGATCATTTGTCCCATTGTTGCGGTTGGCTTGGTAGATGATTGCCATCTATTAGCAGCTGTTCTTCTATTTGAAGGTGTCATATTTTTGACAGGTCTGGCTGTAATCTTATTCCCCTTTGAAACCAAGGGCTGTGAGCTAAAAGATTCTGTGGAGAGTTCAGTCTCTCCTGCCTGATTCCTGATTGCAGCTTTCAGATTTCTCTGGTCCTGTTTTTCAACTGTAATGTGAATTGATTCCATTGTCAATAGTATGAAATTATTTATCGTAGGCTTCGTTTGGGACGGCTTTCTTACTGCTGCTTAAAATAGTTTTTAGTACAAAAGTTAAAATTTATGTACTCGAAAGCTTCTTTAAGAAACAGTAAAAACCAGAGCTTTTTCTCCGATTGTTAATGAATTTGCTTCACCCAATTCACGTTGATCTGTTAGTTGGGAGCTTTAACTACTAACTAAGAAGGTTTAAGTTTGAGTCTTCCGTATATGATGTGTGTGTGAGTTTGCCTTAATTTTTTTTTTTATAATTTTGTTTAGCGAACTGATATCATATTTTCATTTGACTATAAATTTTTATATATTTTTTTAAAAAATTTATGATGGGAGAAGCTTTTTCACAACTAAAATTGCAAATGTAATAGCTGCAATAAAACTTTTTTTATCTGACTTGTAAAAAAATTATGACATCACAGCAGTTTAAAAAACTCATGCCTGCTATACCCAACCAGTATTTTGTCTGTTTAATATGGGACCGATTAGTTACAGTGCAGAGGTCCAGAACTCTGCTATATGAAGCTAAAAAGGCTTCTTCATTCCAAAATAAAAAGCTTCTTCAGAAGGATGGGCAAGTTTTATTTTTCTGGGTAGCACTTGTAAATTTCAGCTTTTTCACTCCATAAAGCAAATATGATATGAAAGATAATAGGAATTGCAGGAATTTAATAAAAAGTGTTAAGCTTGCTAATTTTAAAATTAATGTTTTACAAGATTAGGTTCTAGGATCACTTAGTTGTTGTTTTGAGTTGGCTTGCAATTACAAATTAGGTGAGATGGGCAATTTAAAATAACAATAAAATTAAAATAAAGCTAGATGCACAAGAATAGATATCCACCAATTAACAAATAGAAATTTCACTTTGAGTTTCTCTTACTCCCACTCTAGAGGGTTGTTTTAGCAGAAGAGTATTTTCAGCAAACATAATGATGCCACTAAAAGACAGAGGAAGCCTGCAGTATTGCCCAAAGAAAACTTAGCTGGAGGAGAAGAAGTTGATGGAGGTTGAAGAACTTACCACTGCCCGGAGGTTTGATGCTCGTTGATGGTTGTCGTCAAAGTGAAGAGGATCCGGTCTACGTAGTCGTCAACGGTGTGGTCAATCTCCAAGTTTAGGTCAAAGAAGGGTGATCTCAACACATCTACTCTTCCTTGATGGTCGTATACGAATCTATGGTCTTTTTCAGGATCAGCCATTCATGGGGAATAAGCCGGAGTTGTGTAACTTCTCCCTTGGGGGTGTATGAAATAAGGGAGAAGAGAAGAGCAGGAAGAGGGAAAGGTTTGTGTGGTCGGCCAAGGCTAGGAGAAGTGGCCTCTTTAATTTCGACTTTTGGTTTATGTGGGTGGAGGGGCACTAAATTAAAATATGAATTTTAATTTCAGATTTATAAGAGAAAGGAGGGAATATTTTTGAAATTCGAATCTCCTTTAATGAGGGAGTAAGTGGGGCAGCCCACCTTGAAGAAAGGGTGTTGATTGATAGTAATAAAGAGAATTAATTAAAAGAGAGGGAATAGGGGGGCCGACCAAAGGTGGGAGGGAAAGGGTGTACACATTCGATGTTTGTGGATCCTTGCATTAATTGTTGATTGGGAAATAAAATCTGAATTAATTTCAGATTTGTGGTAATTGAGAAACTTCCTAAAATATGAAACATTAATTAGGAAAGAATTCGAAATTCAAATTATTTTGATTTCAAATTAGAATACTTTCTAAATCAATAGTGGGCTAATTTAGAAAAGTAATGAATGTAGGGGAACAAGGGGGGCCGACAGCTAGGGCTTAGGGATGACAGCTAGGGGTAGAGGACGAGGGAAAGGAGGCTTGGCTGGCGGCTTTTGGGTGGAGTTTGGCCGGCGGTAGTGGGGATTAGGATGATGGGTTGGGTGGAGGGGAGTAGTGGCCGAGGGTGGTGGGAGGACGAGGGAAGGAGGCTTGGACGGCTGTTTTGGGTGGGGTTTGCTGGCGGTAGGTGAGAAGAAAGGGTGGGGACGAAGAAAGGAGAAAGGAAAACCGAGAGCCCGGACTCTTCTGGCGGCTGTCAGGTATTTTCTTTGGCCCTTTACTAGGGTTCAGGGTTCTCTATTCTCTCAAAAGCTCACAAAACAGCGAAGAACAAGAGTTAAAATTTTATTCATCAATCATAATCCAATATAATAGAGAAGACCCTCATATATAGGCCTCACAATCAAAAAAGGAAAAAGACTGAAAGGCCCTCTAGGCTACAGCACAAGCTAATCCCTCTCAAAGGTATAATGGTAAAAACTAAAACATAAAAAAAAAACAGAAGTACATAAGATGCATAAAAAAATAAAGACTTCTAATCGTAGCTGTCGATCTACGATGCCTCATCTGATAGACGCACCAGAATCTCTTGCTGATGTCTTCATCAAAATATGTTAGTATTAATAATAATGTTCATTTTGAGCATTCAATTAATTTCAATCATAGTTTCAATAATTTGAATCAAATAATTTCAACACATAGGAAAATTTTCACAACCTTAATATGAATTTCATCAAACAATCATCTATTTAGTCCGTAATAACATAACGTCGGTGTTAAACAGAAGGCTTCATTTGGGGCAGCTTTCTTACTACTTTTAAAGAAACTTTTTAGTACAAAAGTTTCTTGAACTAGAAATTTTTGTACTAGAAAGCAATAAGAAAGCAATTTTAAACGTAGCCAAAGTCTTGCATATATTGATATTTAAAATTCTTGAACTGTGCTTAAAAGTGAATTGGGAAACTTGTTTGAAACATCTAACTTCATTTAGATGAGTCCTGTCAGTGTCTAAATGAAAAATATGGAAATTTGTTGGTAAAAATATTTTTATCCAAATCATATGCTGATGGGCTTAATAAATATCTATGAAGAAAGTAAATTATACTATTAACAAAGGTGATGCTTGGCCTAACTAGATTTATGAATTTTATATTGGTTTTTTAATCTCAAGAGTAAATATTTTATAGATATCACATATTAAATAAAGGCAATACTTGACCTAATAACATCAATTCATGGGTTCAATTCAATTATATGCTTGCTCTCCGCAGAGAACTACGTTCATCATTTACGTTCATCATGTCAGTCTCTAATCAATGAGTTATGATGGTGTGTGATTCAAATAGGAATACATTTAAGCCCGATACATTAGTGATCAAATCCATTCTTAACCAAAATCTTAAATCTATATGTAAGGATCAACCGCTAGATGATTTCATGAGATAATCTATTTGAACATCGGGTGTACGTTAAGTTGGCGTATATGAAAATCTAATTAATGTGTGATGTTCAATTATCACTTTGATTAGAGAATATTCAAGTCTCATTAACCAATGTTTATTTTACTTTCAATTATTAATGGCTCAAACTAATTTGTTAATATATTTTAAGACTTAAATTTGTATCATTAAAGGTTATAAAACACTCAATAGAGATAAGCATAACATACCCTAGAGTGAACTATGCCATCACAAGGTTTGAGTCCTAGAACCTAAATTTCAATGAATTTGTTGTTTTAGATAACAAGGAGATGGGAGAACCAATCTCCAAGTCCACTTAGGTGACAAGGTGCTAAAGGACTAAATGTTAATTCACTTTAAAATCTTAGATCCTATATCTAAAGGTCATGATCCAAACTAATGGAATGAGCAAGTGCTCATTCCAATTGTCCCTAGCTTTTATATCTAAGGTAATCAAGATTTTATGATATTAGGAAAATCATGATATGCTTAAGTCATTTCTATATGATACATGCTCTTTTTTGTGGAACTTGTTCATATAGTAATTTTCTTCTCTATGACTTTTGAGTGTGTGCTTCTTCTATGAAACCCGTCCATGTTGTTATCCCTCCCACCAAGACCTCATTTCCTTGCTCCCCCTCACTCAAACGTCCTATTATTACCATCATCTATCACCTCCCCCTTGGATAGGAAGGGGCTCTGGATAAATATTTGATCATTTGCAGCTTGGTTCTTGTACTGTGATGATACCTCCTTTCCCTTTGTCATCCACTGATCCATAGTGATTGAAGGTTTAGGTCTCATTGATTATGGACACTATTTGAGGAGCTATATCCCTCGATAATAGTTTTTGTATTGCTACTTATGATAGACCGTGCATTTGAACTACCGCCACACACTTCATCTCTCTCACTGAACATCATCATGTGTCTCTATGTCATATCCTCTCAACATCCATCTCTCGCCATGAGTTGAGAAGTATCTGATATCTAAGGTTAGTCCTCTTAGCTAATTCATTCCATACCCACAAACATAGCCGACTTACTCCCGATTAAATCATCGTCGTCCGCTCAAGCTCACTCTAATCGAGGCATCGCTAATGACTCACATACTTCACCTTGGTGATGTTCCTTCCATAGGAGTTGCTACCCCTGATAGCCACAAGTCGATCGTATGTGATGGGCAAACCAATTATGCTAATATACAATCATTTCAACTTTAAGGTCATATTAGCCTCACCTATAGGAGATGGATTGTTAAATGCCTATTTACCTTTTCTAGACGCTTCTTTTGCCATATGAAGACTTACAATATATGCATACACACAAATATTTGTTCAACTGCCATTCAATATATAATTTTAGTTCTTAAGATTACATAAAGATTGCTTTAATATTATTAAATATACATCATAAGTTATTTTTATGTGCCTTATAAACAATCAAAAAATCATAATATTTGACTGATTTTTACTCCTAATTATTTCTTATATATTATCTCTAAATTAATGACCTTGATTTTTTTTCCTTGAGTGCTAATAATGGTTAAAGCTGGTAATTTAATATAAAATAGATATTATTTATCGATAATTTATATAAAAACACAAACATGAGCTAATTCGTCCAAAAGCTCTTTGAACTTTGCTTCATATCTCACAAAGAATACAAAAAAAGGCTTTGTAATTTACATAAGAAGTTATGGGGTGTTTTATGCAATATAAAATTATGTAGATAATGCAGATTCAAAATTACATATGCTTTCACGTTAAAAATGGTGTCGTGTCGTCGTGAAATTAAGCAGAAATAATAATAATAATAATAATAATAATAAATTTATTTTGGAGAAAATTATGGCTGGCTATCCAAGAGAGAGCCACGATATTTTATTTGTGGGCCCTGAATCTTAATTTAAAGCATTTGGCTTAACCTTTTCTTTCTTGGATTGTGGCTTCCAGTAAGGTCTTATCTTCAAGGCATGAATGGGATATTTTTATTATTATTTTTTTAAAATTGTTTTTTTAGTGTATATTTTAGTTATTTTTTATTTTATTTTAAAAATAAATTAGTTACAAACTATTGGAACTGTTATAGTGACGCATTCTTTTGGTTTGGATATTCTATCCTAGTGGCTATTTTTCGAGATGGTGGTCCCTGCGGCTTGACTTCCCCCTGCTGTTTCAGCACGCTATTTCTAGCCTTCTTCTGGAGGTTATGGGTAGGGCTGCAAACGAACCGAGCCGAGCCTAGTATGTGAGTGTTCATGTTTGTATTCATTTAATATAAGCTTGTTCAAGTTTGGTTCATGTTTGTTCGAGCTTTAGCATTTGTGTTCATGTTTGGTTCATTTAAATTAAGGAGTGTTCATGTTCGGTTCATGTTCAGTTCATGTTCGTTCGTTTAGTGTTTATCGAGCTTGTTCGCGAACATATTTAACGAATTTTTTTAACTATCAAACAAACAAGTTCATGAACATATCTATGAACAAACACATTTATAATAAAAGCAATTGTCTATGTAACAAAGGTAATGATTATTTATATTTATTAATTCTATAGTCAAATATTAATTATTTTTATCGAGCTTAGTCACAAGTTCAAAATCGAACATGAATCGAGCTTTTATCGAGCTTAATGTCAAGCTTGTTCACGAACTTCAAATGATGTTGTTCGCGAACATAAATGAGCCGAACGCATTAGTGTTCAAGTTTGTTTATTTAAGAATCGAGTATTTTAAATATTGTTCAAGTTTGTTTGTTTAGTTAATTAAACGATCACAAACGAGCTTTAATCGAACCGAACAACGAGTAGCTCGTCGAACGTTTGGTTCGCTTGCAGCCCTATTGGCGATGTTGTCGATATGGCTTGCTAGTTGAGCCTTGCAAGCCGAGTTTTTGGAGATTGGAAAGCTTTGAAATTTTAATTTTTTTTAATATTTTATGTTTCTTTCGGGCATTTTGCATGTAACTGTCAATCTTGAACCTTTGGAAGTTTGGGGCTTAAAAAATTTTGCTGGCTATGTTAGAGGGGCAATAGATGTCTAAAAAATGAAGTATTTAGCAGTTTAAATGTACTGTTTTGCATGATATGAGTTTAGTCTTCTCAATTATGTGCTAGAAATTGAGTTAGAATAGTAGGGATTGGTTTCAATAATTGTCTTAGCTTTTGTAATCTCAATTATGATTTCATTTGAGACGGTTTTATTATTGCTTATCAAAGCAATTTTAAGAAACAATAAGAAAGTCGTCCTAAACGAAGTCTATGTTGAGCCGGTAGACGATAGTAGGGGTGTAACTCAGTCAGGTGGACTCATCCTAAATGATTTTTTCAATTAATATTGATTATGGTCCTAATTTCAAAATAAATTTGAACCATACTTATGTTGTTTTAATTCTAGAATTTATAATTAAATGTTTGATATCACTACATTTACTTAGTTATTAATGCATATGTTATATGCATGCTTAATATTTGATAAAAAAGTACTCTAAATCCTATAAAAATTTTAAATATATAACAAAAACAACATCAAGCCTTCATCCTATTACATAGGATCAGCTACATGAATTCTTTTCTTCATTGTGTTATATTAAGAGTTAAACTCTCATTCAAATTTGATAAAAAATCTTTTCTGATACTTTCTTATCAAGTCTTTTTAGGTCTACTTCTATCTTTCTTAACAATTAACATAGATCGAATCTAACATATCTTTCCTAACATGGTCATCGGAAGATTGACATTATATGTGATGAAAACATTTAAGATGACTCTCTCTAATATTATTTGTTAGTGTAGTTATTTCAACCTTTTTCACTTATATACTCTAAAAAAAAAAAAAAAAAAAATTTAAAAAAAAAAAAAAAAAAAAGATTTGAACCCGAAAATCCAACTAATTAACCAATCCAACTCTAATTTTAATTATATTCCAATGGGTCATAATTCCAAAAATAATGGCACCAAAGTGCCTAGAAATGAAAAACCTAGTCATCATATATCTCCCAAAAAGTCTAAATCTTGTCACACCAACAAATAATTATTAGGTTCGGACACCTGACGTAGCTCTACATCTGGATGCCAATAATATGTCGTCACATGCTCTTACTATTTACCACGCGGTCGACGACCCGGACCCGGTATTGCTATGTATTGGCTGATTTGTGCAGACCGGGGTATTGCTAGGTATTGTTCGGTATTGCCAGAATAGCTAGAAATATCAATATGTCAAGACCAATACCTAGCAATACCCCGTTTTTGCAAGTATTGCTCGGTATTGTTAGGTATTGCTCGATATTTCTAGGTATTGTTCTTGACAGATTGGTATTTATCGTTATTGCCAAGCAATACCTAGCAATACCGAACAATACCTAGCAATATCGAGCAATACCTAACAATACCAGAACATAGCAATACCAGGTTCCGTTATGGGTCTGGTCGTCGGGCCGCGCGGTAAAGAGTAAGAGCACGTGGCGACATATTATTGACATGGGCGGATCCCAATGGTAGTGAGGGGGGGCAAATGCCCACCCTCAAATTTTTTTTTTATATAATTTTAGAGGGTATTTTTTAGAATATTTTGAGTATTTTGGGTATTTTGCCCCCTATCAAAAAAATTTTTTGTTCTAATTTTATCAATCCTAATCATTTTTGCCCATCCCCTACTAATTTTTTTTTTGCCCACCCTAAAAAAAGATGCTGGATCCGCCCCTGATTATTGACGTCCGGATGTAAAGCTACGTCCGGTGTCTGGACCTAATAATTGTTCCACACCAACAGCTCACGTGCCTGAATTTGGTGCTTACCACCACGCGTCCGACGGATGAAATCCAACGGTCTGTTGGCAGCCTGAGTGTCCCCAAGTAGCGAATTGGAACTTTCCCTCTCCTTGGCTTATTTGCAGACAAGACGCGCAGAACGGTAGAAGAAAAGAAAAAATATACATATATATGTTAAAATGTTTGTTAGTATGCTTAAGTACAGATATGTTATGTGGATTTCATTAACATAATAATTTATATAAGTAAAATATATTTAAAATCTATTTGGGAAAGCTGCAGCTAACTTGTTTTATAAATATTTTTTTTTAAATTGCTGTGATTATTATAAATATTTTTTATAGAACAATAATTCTTTACAGCTATCATATATTGATAGATTTAGTTATAAAAATAATTTTTTTATTATCAAATTTTTTAAAAAATTAATGAAAAATAGCAAAAAATAATAACCAATCAGAAATATGATTGTGATTAAAAAATACAATAGTAAAAAAACAACAGCCTCAAATTGGAGAGATTATTACATGCGGATGCACGTTGAACGCGTCCGAAGGAGAATCAGAAACTGCCACATCACCTAATGCACTGTGCATTAGGTGACGTGACGACTCTTGATTAACATCCCGTTCCGATGCATTCGACATTCGCACGTAATAATTTTTTCTCAAACCGACTCTTAATATTAACTTCACGATAAACTTTAGAATCATGACGATATTATTTAGAGTTTAATGAATCAATAGTATTTCTTTTAAATTTTATTATTATTTCTTTTTTTCATCTTATATCGAATTTTATGGTGAACTCTTCTAATATTATAAGAGAAATACTTGTAGAATTTTAATAAGTATTTCCCAAAAAAAGAACAAGTCTTTTAAGGGGAAAGATCCAGTTCTACCTTCTTCGTTACGATTGGAGGGAAGAAAGAAGCGCACGCTAGCTACTTTAAAAAGCTCAAAAGCTTACGTGAAAGAAACCAGGATAGAGAAAATAGGGAGAGAGAGAGAGAGAAGCTTGTAATTTCCAAAGCATTTTGGTTTTCTGCAAAGCTTAGCAGGCCACACAGGTTAGTATTACTACTCAGAAAGATTTTTGAAAATTTTCCCAAAAAAAAAAAGATTTTTGAAATTGGATTTCTCTTTCTTCCTCGAACTTCTTTCGCTTTTCGAGGACCATTTTTGTTAACTTGTTAGGCTTTAAGAATGGGAATGTTGATGGTTAAAATTGAAGAGAAAATGAGTTGAATTATGAGAAGAAACAGATGATGATTTCAAGGTAGTGGAAGCCATGAAGCTTTATTGAATCTAACAGACGAACTCTAGTAATAGAAGAAAGCTAGATTCTCACTGATTGCTTTGATGAAAAATGCTCTATTTGGTCCATTGCTGCTGCTGTGTTCTAGTTTTTTGAATTTCTTTTCTGTATTCTTCTACTGTGAGTTGCTTTAAGTTAATACGCTGTGATCAGTGCAAACGAAGATGCTGGAGAAGCAAAATAACAGATGGATATATGATTTTAATTTTAATTGAGATATTGCAGATGGGAAATCAGAGGGATGTGTACACTGTGGATGAAGCGCTGATGTCATTGGGATTTGGGAAGTTCCAATTCTTTGTGCTTCTGTATTCTGGAATTGGTTATGCTGCGGAAGCAATGGAGATTATGATTCTTTCATTTATTGGCTCTCCAATTCAATCTGAATGGAAACTTTCTCCTCAGCAAGAGAGCTTTATCTCTAGTGTCGTTTTTGCTGGAATGCTTCTAGGGCAATATTCTTGGGGCGTCATTTCAGACAATTATGGAAGGAGGCAAGTCCCTACCATCAACCCTGACCTCTCGTCTTTTTAATAAAATTTCTTCAGCCAGGCTTCAAGTTGGGCGATTTTTCATAGTTCTTGAGTCGATTCAATTGAGAATCTGCTTGCTTTAACATATTTATACATAATATAAGGATTTTATGAAAGATAAGAGGGATCAGGTTTAATAGCTTAGTCATGTAAGAAGCAGCTCTTCAAATGCAGAGGTCCAATAATTTGGTTTTTGAAATGTCTTTGAAATGCACCATCTAATTCGGAATATGTTCCAAAAGAGTTATTAATGATAGCTTTCTGGGGGCGTCAACTAGCTTAGGCTTTGTTTGGGAGAGCTTTCATACTGCTTTTTAAAACGGATTTCTAGTACAAAAAATTCAAATTTCAAGAAATTTTTGTCTTAGAAAGCTGTTTTAGAAAGCAAGAAGAAAGTTGTCCCAAATGAAGCCTTAGTTAGTAAGGACTTTTGAATTTGTTATCAAGATTATGGAATTAAGGTTTCATTTGGAACGGTTTTCTTATTGATTCTTAAAATAATTTTCTAGTTAAAAAAATAAATTTTTTGTACTAGAAAGCTGCTTTAAAAAACAATAAGAAGGTTGTCCCAAACGAAACCTAAATTTCCCTCTCCTCACCTATAACAAACAAACAAACAAACAAAAAAGTTACAAAAAAGATTCAACATATTTGATTTACATCCGTTTAAGTGTCTATTTTTCGTGAGTGGTTATGTCTATACTGAATAAATTTGCTCGCTGTAACATCGAAGTATTTTCCAGGAAAGGCTTCGTCTTTACTGCACTAGTTACCAGTGGAGCTGGTTTTCTCAGTGCCTTCTCCCCCAACTACATTACTTTCATCATCCTTCGTTTTTTAGTTGGTATTGGGTTGGGCGGTGGGCCAGTGCTGTTCTCCTGGTTTCTGGAGTTTGTCCCTGCTACCAATAGAGGTATATGGATGACCATCTTTTCTTTCTGTTGGAGCTTGGGCACAATTCTTGAGGCTTCACTTGCATGGGTATTTTTTTTTCTTCCATTGTCAATTCAGATTCTCTCGGATTGAACTTGTTCAGATATTTCATTCTTTTGACTGCTCTACAAACAGATTCCAAGATCTGCTTCATATTATGAAAAATTCATCTCTTCAGAATTCTGAATTAACAGTCTGTGTATTTAGAACAGTTTTGAGATGTAATAGGATATTTTGTTTCTGAAAGTTTCTATTATTTCCTTCATATTTAATTTTATTTTGATCGTGTTTAATTATGGATACATATAAAGCATTGATAAGAAGTGAAGATAGATTTATTGCAATATAAATAGGAAAGCTAGGATTTTGGCTGAAGATAGGATCATTAGTTGTCAGGTCCTAAATCCTGGATGAGAAAATAGAGGGTTGTGTTAGGTAGTCGAAATACAACATAAAACTTATCGAATAATTATGAAATGAATCCTTGAAGCAAAATCTCAAGTTAAGTGTTGCAGAGATGAGGATGCTCAGGAGGATGAGTAGCTTGGCTTTACTCTTAGAGACAGGATACAAAACAAGTATATATGTGAAAAGGTTGGAGTAGCTCCAGTGGAAGATAAGGTCAGAGAGAGTCACCTTGGATGGTTTGGTCACATAAAATGACGGCATTCTGATGACCCCGTTAAGAGAGTAGATGTATTAATTAGATTTGACTTATGTTAAGAAGGGTAGAGATATACCTAAAAAGACTTGGCTAAAAATATTAAAAATAACCTAATAAAATTTATGGCACTGCAATCAAAATTTTACTGTATTTCATAGAACAGTGAACTAAATAGTCCTAAATAGGATTTATGGACATTCATTAACTTGTAAAAAAACTAGAAGACACCATAATTTTTTCAAATCCCTTTTCATAATGAAACAATGCCTTTGTGCTATTCTGACTAAGTAAACCACATCAAGGGGGCCTTGTCCCAGCTCAAAACCTCTTATATTCGTCAAGATTTAGCATTCCAAACTTATTATTTGCAGGTAGTCATGCCTAACTTAGGCTGGAGGTGGCTTCTAGCACTCTCCTCTGTGCCAGTCCTCCTCCTCCTCCTATTTTATGGTTTCACCCCCGAGTCACCAAGATACCTTTGCACTAAAGGTAGAACAGCTGATGCCATGCTTGTTTTGGAGAATATGGCTAGAATGAACAGCATGGAACTTCCTTCCGGTGCTCTTATTTCTGATTTCAAAGGGGAGTTTGATGGGGATCAAAATGTTCCTGAAACTTCACATTTGATTACAGTTCAAAATGATCAAACTGACATTGATCAAGATATGGAATCAAAGATTGGATTCATTAGCACACTGTGCAATCTCTTGTCTCCAAAATTAGTCAGATCAACTCTTCTCCTTTGGATTGGTTTCTTTGGAAACATATTTGCATATTATGGAATTGTCTTGCTAACTTCAGCATTAAGTGATGGAAAAATGGCATGTTCTTCTTCAAAGTTGCATTTCAACCGCACAGAGAACATTAATCTTTATAAGGATGTGTTTATCACTAGCTTTGCTGGTAACGTGCTAAAGATTTATTTGTCTCCTTACATTCGTACTAATCTTTTGGGTGGATTCATTAAAATTACTTCTTTGCTATATTTCCAGAGCTGCCTGGGCTTATTTTGTTGGCCGTGATGGTTGATAGGTTTGGCCGAAAGCTTTCAGTGGTAACCATGCTTTTAGCAGCTTTTGTTTTCTTGATCCCTTTGGCATTTCCTCAAACAGAAGGGTTAACAACAGCCCTTCTGTTTTGCACTCGATTATGCATCACTGCAAGTTCAACAGGCCTCTGCATATATGCTCCAGAGGTCAGTACGAAGAAAATGCATCCCATGGCCATGACTGTTTTTTTTTTTTCTTTTCAAACACTCAATTTACATTTGGAAACTTGAATTGCTATAAATGGTCTTATCAATATGTGGTAATCACAATTTTTTCTTAGAATAACTCAATGCAGTCTACATTGTCATAGTAAGAATGATCTAACATAGAATTATATTGTTAAAGTTCTTCTTTCTCTCAGTTCTATGTCCTTCTCCAGAACAACAAATCGACGCAAACTTGTCTACTAAGATTAGTTTCTTTGCTTTCCAGATTTATCCAACTTCGCTAAGGAGCAGCGGTTATGGAACTGCAAGTGCTGTGGGTAGAATTGGTGGAATCATTTCTCCTCTTGTGGCTGTAGCTTTGGTAGATGACTGCCACCAGACTGAAGCTATTCTTCTCTTTGAAATTGTGATAAGTGTGTCAGCTATAGCTGTGGCTTTCTTCCCTATCGAAACCAAGGGCCGAAGTCTTGATGATTCTCTGGAGAGCTTAATCAGTTGAAATGCTCTTTGTTCAAGATATTTGATTGTTATGAGCAGCTTCTATTGATCTTTGATCCTTGTACAGAGTTGTTTCTGCATTATACTGTTTCAGTGCAATAGAATTAAATGAATAATAAGCAGGCTTCTAATTGTCTGTGACCAAATTGTATGATCTACTACAGTCTAGAGTTTTACAGAGAAGCTTAAGAATGAGCAGAAATTGATCCCAGAAAGTAGCGAGAGAGGGAGATTATGTAGTCTTGTTCAATTGTGTTTATACCTTCTCTTACATGAAGGCTTTGAATAATTCTAAGTGATTTACTATTTTCATACTATATTGACTTTACATGATAGTAGCTAAAACTATTAGATGCATCATTTGTGTTTATTCCACAATTTTAGTAAACAAAGAATACATATTTGCTTCAAATTTGTGGATGCTTCAAAGGAAATTAATCAGATTAAGGCTTCGTTTGAGGCTGCTTTCTTACTTCTCTTAAAGCAATTTTTTAGTACTAACATTTTAAATTTTTTATTAGAAAGTTGCTTTTAGAAGTAAGAAAGCCATCCCAAACGAAGCCTAAGACTTCGTTTGAGACAGTTTTCTTACCGCTTTAAAAGCAGTAAGAAAGCCATAAGAATTAAACGTGAATCCAATTTTATCCCTTTTTTCTATAATTCAATCATTTATGAAGAATGTGAAAAATGCAATAATGATTAATTGAAGACAAGCCTTTCTAAAGATATAATTTTGCATGTATATTTGGCTAATCGTAGTTGTCGAATGTATGCAAGGCATCATTAACGATCAATCATTTGAAAATCTCAATATTTTAAAATTACGAACAATTATTCATACAATTAGAGTCATTCATTGTAAAAATGTTGAATCAAATGATCATAGAATTTTGTTGAAATTGTACATGCCACTAGTTTTAATGATGTTATGGAGAGTTGATGAATTTGATCTTGTACATACTTAAAAGTAGGAAATAAGTGATATGAGTGTTATGTGCTAGAATATTCATCTTGGGCTCACATTGATAAGTTTAAAGCAAATTAATATAGGTAAGGGTAAAACTAGGGAGCTTGGCTTAGTTAAAATAGGAGACCAGGAAATCATCAGTAAGTTACACATCGGAATTCAATGGCTGAAGAATGCAAGCAATCAATGGGAGTTCATTTTAGTTATTCTCATTATAATAGAGGAGACCATGTTATGTTATCTAGAAGATGACCGTTGAATGTCAAATGGTTGAGGATGTCAAACATTGACCATTAGTAAATGTTGGGCAATATGTAACATAGTGAGTCAGAAGTTGTGAGTGTTGGGAAGTAGGAAAACCTTTGTCAACATAAAGAGTGAAAATTTTGAAAATAAAAAAAGATAATGGAAAAAAAAAAAAGAAAGAGAAAATGTGTGCCCAACCGTAGGGTTGTGATTCTTCGGACTACCATCCAGCCATCATCGTTTGAGCACTTCCTAGCCATCGTTGTTGGTACATTGACTGACCACTGCTGTTAGTACACCGCCCGACCATCGTCGCATCGCCGTCACCCGATTAGAATTCAACCACTTCCGTCGCCAAATTGTGATCATCAGACTACCATTGCTCAACTATGGTTATTCGACCACCATTCCCCAATTGCTATCCTCAGACAACCGTCGCCCAACTATAGTTCTCCAATTACACTCGCCCGATTACAATCCTTCGACCAAACTTCACCGACTATGATCCTCCAACCAAACGTTGTCAACTATGATCCTCCAGTGACACCACAAGGATTAGTACACAGTTCAACATGTTTTGGCTTGATCCGAAATAATGTAATCCACTGAATTTCAGCGTTTGAAGGTGATTCAAAGTGTTTTATGTGCATATAAAAGTTTGTATGTATTTTGAAATTGGCTTTGGGGGTTTGCTTGCATATTCTGAAATATATGAAATTTTCTTCATAGGGCATCACGGCGCTGTGGTAGGCGGTGCTACGGTGCTTAGCTCTCCATAATTTTGGAAAATTAATTCATGCTATGACACTCAATGCTCACAAGCTTTGGCGTCGCGGCGCTCGGCTAAATTTTTCTATTAAAATATCATTTTTTTACCATTCCATTCATGAAAGTGTGTCTGTCAAGGTACAAGTATTAGAATTCTTTTAATCATGTCTAATATGAAGTATTTATTTATTTATTTTCTCAGCATTGTTATTTGAATTCCTGATAACTGCAATTACTCTTCTACTCAGCATAGTGATTTATTATATTATTTTTAGCACTCAATTAAATGCTAAATAATAAATTCATTTGTAAGTTTAGATTGGTAAATATGGCATGATAAACTATGCTAGCTCACAGTTATTACGTCTTTTATTTTTAGGATCTAAGAAAGTGAAAGAGTCTGTTGAGTAGCGGTTTTTAAGATTTGATCTGAGTATATATATGTACTTCTTTTTTAAATTTTTGTACAGTCTTGATTAATTATTTATTCTACTTTATTTTATATTCCAGTATGTAGCTATGTGTTATATTGTAATTATTGTAGGTACATTTGATAATAAATGAACAAAATTTTATGAATGAGTTTATTTCTATACACTGAAATAGTGGTGTAAGTGAGCTAAGTCGGCTCGAGCTCGACTTATTAACGAGCCTACGAGTATAGCTTATCAAGCCACAAGTTCGAGCTCGAGCGTATACTAGAGCTCGTATCTTAAACAAGCTCGAGCTCAAGCTCAAGTCTTGCTGGGTTCAAAAGCTAATTGGGCCGCTCGATTAAATTAAAATAAATTTAATAATTAATTTGAATTAGTATTATGTAATAAAATTTAATAGTTTTCAATTAATTCTATTTAAAAAAATTAAATTAAAAAAATGAATTTTAATTTAAAATTAAGAAATCAAGCTCAACACTTGAATTGAGCTTAAGTTTTCTAAAAGAGCTTGAGCAATCGTGTCGAGCTTGAGCCAATGAATTTTTTAACGAGACAAGCTTGAGCTTAATAAACAAGCTCGAGTCGAGTTGAGCTCAAGCTCAGTAACAACTAAACAAGCTTAGCTCGATTAGGCTATTAATCGTTTCAACTCGACTTGTTTACACACCTACCTTAAAATTTTTTTACCAGCACTATGGTTTATTGTTTGTTTTAAAGTTAAAATTGGAAAAAAAATTGAATGATATTTGAGTTAGTCTGTTGCAAACCAATACGATAGGACCTGACTTGTCTATAGATCTTATTAGGTTGGGTTGTGACACCTCTAACCTTCGCCCCCATACTTCATTACTCTAACCACCATCATCTGACTACAGTTCTCCAACTTATGTCACCCGACTCTAGACCATCATCACCAAATTGCAATATTTCGACCATTATTATTTAACTAAGGTCCTCCAACCTCTGTTGTTGGACTATAGACCTCCAGACCTTCGTTGACTGACTACAGACTTCTTGACCACTGTCACCCAATTGTTGTCTTTAGACCATGTAACAATCCGCCACCATCGCCAATTTAGTCTTTTAACCATCATCTCTAGAATAACATACTCTTAAGTCTTGACCACTATCACTCGAGTAGTGTCATCCAACTACCATCACACTCAATATCATTTATAAAATTGATGCAAGTCATTAACACCAACTCTAACTGTCAAGATTAGTATTGGCATTTATGTTGGATTTATTGCTCTCTTATCTCTTCTTCTCTTTTTTTTTTGGGGACTTATCACTTCTTCTCAAAGGAGCGCAACCGACCAATATAAGTAAATAATCTCTTAAATATAGCTCTCATGCTATACTGCTCTTCTAACTTCAACTACGATAATATATTATATATAGTACATCTTTGCTATATTGAATCAATGCATTTCCTCTGAGAGAAAACTTCATTTGTAACCGATGACAAACACTACTGGAATCATTTTGACTAAGTAATGTCTGTGATTTTTTCTCTTTTATAGCTTTCTACATAAAAACTCTGGTGTATCTTATAAGTTCGCTTTTATCTATGTATATGTTGGATCTTCATACAAAACAAATATGCTAAACTATATCTCTCAATTGTTGTAATTATTTTGGCATGCAATAAATAAATTTTTTTATTGGGACATTTAGGTCAATGAAGGCATAATCACACACAGAGCATACACAATATTCAAACACATGACCTCTTAGTTGGTAAACTAAGTTCCCAACCAACATACCAAAGTGAGCTTGTGTAATAAAAACATAAAAAAAAATTTAATTATTAGATTTCACCTTTTAATTAAATATTATTGGAAACCAATGAGTGTGAACATCATAAATACTAGCTTTTCTAAATAAGGATGATACCATTCAAACTTACAGATTAAGTGGAGCATGGTTTACACATAAATGTGCAATATATGGGATCCCCATAATTATCATCCAAAAGAAAATAAGTAATTCAATCCATGGTTTAAAATTGCGTAATATGAGGCTCTCCTTTGCGCAATTCCAGTAAAAAACGCCTCGATGCTTACGCCTCGAGTTTTTTTTATGAGGCTTGCGCCTCAACTTGGTTAAGGCCCGCCTTGCCTCACTGGCTTGAGGCTTACGCCTCACGCTATATATATTAAAACTTACATAAATCTTGAAGTAAATGCCCGATATTGGACTCCATATGAGAGGAGGAAGGGGAGAGAGCAGTTCACCATAATTATGATTCAAATGAAGAACCCCTTAGTGATGACAGTACTGATGACTTATGAGTTCTTATGTGATATGTCATTGCTATTTATTTTTGGAAATTGGAATTATATGTTAATGAAAAGAATACTGGGATTTGGAAAAGATAAAATTTTGAGTTGAACTATATTTCATGTTGTCTTATTGTTGATATATTTTGATTTCACTTTATATCTTATATTTTTTTATGTTTTATATTATTCACTCATTAGCATATAAAAAATTTATCATTTTATGTTTACGCAATCTTTTGATTTTGAGGCTTACGCCTCGCCACACGAACGAAAAAAGCCTCAATACCCGAATACGTAATTTTAAACATTGATTCAATCGTAGGGTTGTGATTGTGTTTATCAATAAAAAATCTGTAGTATTTATTGAAGATATTGATATTCTAAATACAAATATGATTATTATTATTTTTTTTTATATTTTTAAAAAAGTGGTAGATAAACAGCTTCAACAATTTAAAAATCTATCCTTACCCTATTTGGCTATTTTCCTCCCAAATTTACATTTTGCAGCACTTCCTGTAACTCCAGATCCTTCTTCACTTCCTCAGATTCCCGGAAAATTATTACGTCCAGAGCCACAACGGCTTCTCTCTCCTTCTAGATGCAGAAGAATGAGCGAGGGAGCTCTTCTTCTGCCTTCTCCTATCTGTTCGCCTCGACCAATCTCATTCGTTTCAAGGAAGCGGAGGACATGCTTGGGAGCAAGGGCGACGGCCGATCGGAAGAGAGCGAATCTCGTGGCCCAGAGGAAGGAGAGAGTGAAGCTTCCGAAGTACATGGACGGCTATGGTAGGTCGCTCTCTATTAGTGAATTCCTCAATCACCAATCGGGAGTGGAGGCCTTGCTCAACATCAGGGCATTGCAGGGTTTCGAATCGATCGGCTTCAATACCTATAGGTGGTTTTCGCTTTCTTTAACCAAATTTAGATTTTGGAGGTTTTGGTGAACTAATTTCTTCAATTATCTGGAGGAGAGTTTATCTAGTTGAACTTTTTTCTTGCTTTTTGGGTTTTGAAGCAGGTGTACTATGCATAAGATTCAGTTTATGATGTTTGAGGTTGCACCAGTGCTGGTCTTGAGAGTGATTCCTACGAGTGAGGACTGCACCGTTGAGTTGTTGTCCTGCAAGGTAAGATCTTTTGCAGCTCTTTTATAGAAGAAAATTTGGTCTGGACTCCCTTTTGTTCTCATGATTGATTTGGTAGCGTTTGGATTAGCTTTGAATTATTTTACTCATCTCAAAGCCAAAAAGCTAGAAAACCCGTCTGAAGAAAAAAACTAATCCATTTTTCCCTTTTGTTGTGGCATAGCAGCAATAGTTTTTCTTAATGGAATGAAGAATCTCTGTCAGGAGATATACGCTTTTTGCTGATTTCACTATTTGCTTTACTATTGGTTAGTTATGATATCCAATTTGAAATATGAAATCCAGCCAGTAAATTGAAGCAGTGCAAAATGCATTTCTTCTCTTTACTAATGCATAAATATTATGAAAATTTTGGCTTTTGCCAATTTGAATAAGTCGTCATTTGGCAATGCTTTAAGATGTTGTGTTGTGCTATCAAATTAAACGGATTATAACTTGGTAAAATTGTTGTTTATTTTTGTTTTCTGAACTGCTGTTATTGGTAAACTTGTTTGAGGTGATGTGAATTGGTTTAATTATAAAAATAGATATGTATAGTTATTAGCCAATAATTTCAACAATATTTATCTTATTATAGCTAATAAAATTAATAGTTAATGATTATGTATATGAATAAAAGTTAAATTTATATTAATGAAAATCATAGAATAATCTATGTAGTTTTGATAAGCAATTTTTTTAATGAACAATGAAAATTTATAACATCCATCCATCAAAAGGACCTAACATAGCAATTTGAATAAAATACATAATTGTTAGATTTTTCGTGTTTTTATATACACTGCAAAATAGCATATGTCAAATTTCATCAAATGTAGGTTAATTTTAACATTGAAGCATATAAAATTATTCTTAAATCAGCAATTCATATAGGGTCATCAACTCATGAACTTCATGATTTCTGAGTTGTCTAAGAGAAACATTTTAACTATATATAAGATTATTAGAAGTAGATTAAATATATTTGAGTTGTCTAAGAGACATTTTAACGGCATTAACGGCAATTTGGCCAAATATGTCAATAAACACCTAGTTGCTAGCTAGGTAAGGCATAATAGTCCTGCTTTGCGAGTTTTGAAAAATGAGTGATGCTAAGAAAAGCACCCAACTTTTATGCTTGCATGATAAACATGAACGAATACAATGAACCACAATAATAAAGAGATCAAATAACACAAACGGGCATTAGAATTTATGTGGATCGGCTTAAGTCAAACCTGTATCACTAAGAGAGAGAAAATATGATTCTCTAATAGTAAGAAATCAGAATTGTGCATAAAATACGAAGATATTGACCAGTCTTTCAAAAATCTTAGTAAACCTTTGAATAAGGGTGTGAATTGAATTATAATTAATTCGCAATATGATAATAGTAGTTATTTTCCACTGATTTTATTCCATTTATACATATTATTGACTTTGGTTTGTTCATTATTTTTACACAGTTCGAGGGTCCAGAATATATAGAGAAACAAAATAATCTTTTCTCAGGTATATCCATCTTTAATCAGTGTTATTGTCTTCTTAATAAATACTTACTGCACGAAGGCAAGAGCATAGATGTCTCTATCCAAATAAAAAAAAATTCAGCTGAAATTATGTTATTTATTTCATTATCCACATCAATTTCCTACTGATCATATTTTAATAGGATATATGGACCACAATTTTAGAAGACAGTTAACTTATAGGAATGCTAAGCCTTAGTTTGGGTTGAAGCAATTGAAAGAGGGGAATGAAAAGGAGATGGAAATGTAATTATTATATGAATTAAATTTAATTAGTTTTAAACCACATGTTTGGTTGAGGAGAAATCGAGTGAAAAAGCAATTCCCTGTTTTTTTTTTTTGTTTGAAGAAACAACCAATAAACAGAAAGTGTAATGATGATGTAAACAGTATTTCCTCTCCCTGTAATTCCTGCAAACCAAACAAAGCCTAAACGAATTTTTAAGTTTCTTATCTATGATCATTCTAATTTTCAACTTGATTTTTTTTCTTCTAGTTGTTATGGGAGGGGTCCTTTTCTTGTTATGTTCCTTCTGACACTATTACCTTATCTGTAGCTTCTATGAGAAACCATATAACATGGGAGATGGACGGTTCTAAGCCGTGTTTGGATGTTAATGTGAATCTGAGCGTATCACTTGAGGTATTATGCTCTTACTTTGAAGTGAATCTGAACGTTAAAGCTATGTTTGATTGCTGCTTGTGTCCAAAACCTTTTCTTTACACTTTTTTGTATGCATCTGTATGGTCTATTGCTTTGCATATCCTTCAAAAAACTTGTGATTAATGAGTTAAGCTTTAATCCTTGCATTGAAGTATGTGATAACTTAGCAGATCAATGATGCTAAATTAAGGCTTCGTTTGGGACGACTTTTTTACTGCTTCTTAAAGCAGCTTTTTAGTACAAATTTTTTAATATTTATACTAAAAAGCTGCTTGAGAAGCAATTAAAAAATCATCCCAAACAAAGCCTAAGACTAGACCAATGTCTAACCAGTTCTATTGGAAAATGATGGCATGAATTGCCACTTAACTTCCCATGCGATGGATGACAAGAAAAATAGGCCCCAACTCATTTGACATGGCAATATCACATGGTTCTACAACTAGTGACTAGTGCTAAAGCTTATTCAATCTTGCAAGTTTAATGACGAAATCAGCCATGTTGAAAGATGAGATCTTGTCATGGTCAGAGAGCTTATGCGGACATTGTATGCTCAGTCAGTCGCCAGGTATGGAGACATCCGGCCATGGCAATTTGAGTTCTCTAGTGGTCTAGGGAGAACTTCAATTTCTGGTTTGTGTTTAACAAATTTTGCATTAGATCTAGTTGCAGATTTTTCCCTTTGTGATCTGATTACCAATTTGAAAATTAAGTATATAAAATTGAAGTTGAGTCGGAAATTGTTGAGCATATTTTGTTGATGAACACCATATTCAATAACAAGTGGATCGCACAGATGGGAGCATAATGAAATACTACCATTAGACATACATTTGGTGCAGTACAACTTTGAAAAACCTTTGATTTATGATAAGAATTGGATATAGTTATTGTTGACCTCCATATGTATTTCACAATCGATTTGAGCATGTGCAATAAGAATGGGGACAAATTGACACGAAGTCACGTAAATAAGTTTGAAGCACCTTAACGACAACTAAAATTGCTCAAAACATATTTCGTTTGTGAAACGAACCGGGTCGACGGGGTTGGAGAGTCAAAAATACCGATGAAAGTTGGTTCCACACTTGATTTAATCACACACGAAGAAAATGATGGATTACAACGGTGATGATGTGCGAAGTTTCCCAAACATCATCTATTCGCAAAACAGATTGCGCTGACATGCTTTCGGAATGTCAAAATTATCCATAGTTAAAAGCTGCCAAACAACATTTCAAGGGATTTTTGTTTGAGTGATTTATGATGTTTCAATTTTTCTTCTATTTATTGTATTATATTACTATAGAAAGCATTAAAATTGACCTTTCTATATATTGTAGGTGTATACAATGCCATTCAACTTGCTTCCAATATCAGCAGTGGAGAAACCTGGAACCTTGTAAGTCAATAGCTATAAAAAATTCAAAATGTAAAATCATTTGATTTACTCTCCTCCTTTACTGTATTAAACCATTCGATGCTCCCAAGAAAAAAAAAACATTAAACAAAATAAAGTTGGAAGACAAACTTAGTCTGCTCTCTATTGACGAATTTATTTCCCGAATTAAATTTCTTTTTCTTCTTATGTAAGACCTAGCATATAAATTTTATGAAATATTGTGGCTTTTTTCCTGTGATAATTTGGGTTAAGATGTCCTGACTCGAATTTGGTCAGCATAAATTTTCTATTTATAATTTATTACAGATGTTTTGATATAAGTATGATATAAGAGTTGATTAATTAATTATTTTTTCTATTTATCTCAAAAATGGCTAAAAAATTCATCCTGATCAAATTAGAATCAGACTTTCAAATTTTCATTTTTTTTCTTTTTTCAAGGATAATATGATATTCTTAAAACATAGCACAACTTTTGGAGAAATTATTCTGTGCAGTCAATGGACGGAGAGAATTGTCTGAATTTACAGGACTTTACTGTTCTTTTGCTTCGTTTTTACAAAAGGGCAGTAAAATGGCAGCAAATATTTAACTATGAATGCGTTTTTAATGCCCTTTTGCTGTGCTTTTACAAATACTCATTAAAAGCGCAACAAATATTCAATTATTTAGTAAATATTAAATATTTGTTGCCCTTTTACTGACCTTTTGCAAAAGCGCAGCAAAATGATAATAAAAATGTAGCAAATTCGGACGGTTCTTTCCGTTCGGTGTCCGCACAGAATAATTAATCCAGCTCTTGCCCTCTAGTATTTGAAAAAGTGCCATCTCCTCTAGTATTTAAGCAAGTTTTGTTTTCTAATGTATTTTCTTATGCGTGCAGGGTTATGCAAGGTCTTATTGACAGGCTAGTCCCCCTGCTTGCAGAGCAGTTGCTTAATGATTATGCATCTTGGGTTGATAAGCAGCTTCAACACTTTTCTTAGGTGGGACTAAACGCAAGCAAACCTTTTTTTTTTTACTATTATTCTTTTTTTTCTGAAATTGGGAGGCTATCTTTGATGTTTCCTGTAATAAACATTATCCAATATTGTTATAAAACTCATAAATGATATGTTGCTCTTATTTTGAGATTTTTTTTGTTCATTTGGTGTCCATTTAAGGATTAATAATTCTGAGTGGATGCCGAAGCTATTTGGAGAATAACTAGAATGCGCCACATTGCTCCTTCACTTGGTACCGGTCCTCAATATTATTCATGTGACGCATTCTAATTGATCTCCGAATAACATTTTGCGTCCGGCTTCTGTACAAAATAATCTCATTTAGGGCAACTATAATTATATGTAAAATTTTAATTTTTAAGTTTTTTACTTGGATAAAAGGCAGCCTTTTTATATCTACAAAAATCTAATAGTTTTCAAGATAAAAAAAATTTCAATCAAATAAGAAACATGGAAAAACTATACGGGCATTAAACTAAGCTTGCAGTTTTACGTATATCAGAGTTACTTGAAATGATAGCTACAAGCAAAAAATATAAATAAATAAGAAAGTTTAGTTTGCAGTAGCAAATCTTTATGAGAAACAAATCACTATTTTAACTTAAATTTTCTACCTTTCTTTAATCTAATCACTGGTCCAGCAAAATTATTTACCAGAGAATCCATTGAAAAATAGCACCGACACTTTCTGGTAATCCAGTTTATTTCCTTTGATTACACAAATGTTTAATTACAGATATTGCAAAATGATTTGCTACACATGAATTGTTCAACCATCTAATAATGTGTAATTAAGCATTTGGAGATTTTTATTAAGTACAAAAAATATCATTAGGAAGTATCATATCCTATAGTTTTTTAAAACATTAAAAAAGAGATGAAATTGACTATTATTACTGCAATTTTCAACAAAAAAAAAGAGGTAGAATATAATTATTTGCGGCGTATTTAAACATTCAATGGAAAATGAAATTGAGGCTTTATTTGGGATGACTTTGTTTCTACTTCTTAAAGCGACATTTTAGCACAAAGATTTTAATTTTTATATTTTAAAAGCTGCTTTAAGAAACAATAATAAGGCCAGTCCAATCGAAGCCTTAAATAAAACTTCTTTAAGACCAAACATATACAAAATTGCTCAAAGATTGATGTACCAAGCAAAAGAAACAGTTGCATGCATTTCATGGATGATTGTGTCGTAAAAGATCAGAAAAAGGCTAAACGGACAGAAATTTAATCACTGATGCCCTTGTAAAGGGATGAAATGACAATGTTCTCCTAACTAATCACTTTGCAAAAATGTTTAGAACACAAATTTTACCCTTTCGGTCAAAAAAAGGGTAACATTTATAATGTCACAGTAATGGGGGCCGCTACCTTAAAAATACAAATTATAAGGAATTACAAAAAGGCTTCCGTCAACATTTTACTGGAAAGTAACGGATAGTACTAAAAAAAAATGAAGTCCATTGAATCTTAATGAAGCATATAATTGCATTTTGCTAAAGCATTTATTCAGAACTTTCTATAAGCATCAAATTTAGACGTTAGTATGTAGAGAAATACAGCGAAGTCTGAAAGATCATAAGCTTGCTTTCTTCACTAAATTCCTTCTATACATCTACATCTCCAGGTACCAGTTTGTGCTAGTTTAGCCAATGAAGCTTCAATTGATCTTCGGTTTCTGCCGCCTGGGTCTAAGCACAAACCAGAGAATCGCAAAAACAACCAGAAATGCAGGAATTGTAGTCAGGTCTAGTACTATATCAACTTTCCTTTGACGAGTACAGTGTACTGGATGCAACAAAGCAATGGTGGTGTTCACATGGTCTGCAAACCTGCAGAAGAAACAATTGGAAGATTCATTTACTACGGTAAAGAACAAGGATTCAGACCTCCAATTACAGAGGTAAAGATATCTGCAGCCAATCAATCTTTGGATTGTTGTGATTAATACAGATTGCTTGTGCATGCATCGGCATGTTTTTTTAATCATTTTGCTTTGAAAAAATAAAAAAAATAAAAATCTCAAACATCCAAGATGGATTTGATTAGCCAACTTTATCTCTCTAATTACAATGTTAATTGATAATTGGAGAGGATCGAGTCCATAGAACAGGAAGGATTAGTAAATGAGAGGGAAAGAGAGTTTCCCAAATAGAAGGCAAATTAAGCCAATGTTGTTTGTGATGCATGATGAGTAGGTTTGTAGTCGAAATCTTTTGCGGGCATGGAACTAGTAACTAACAGAAACAACCTCACCAAATAAAAGCGTTGCTTGTAATAGCACAGGGAGCTAAATTGACCAAAAGTGTCATAAGCAGCTAAGCATTTAAGGTAAAATAGGTGACTGCAATTAATGTGAAATTACTCCCAGGAATACAAACCAATTTAGGATATTGTTGAATTCAAACTTATGTGTGGGTGATACCCAACCTTACAAGCAAGCAAGCTCAAGATGTCGGAATCAAAGAACCCATGGTGAGTATAAAAAGAAGAAACTTTTGGGGGAAAGTATTTCATTAACTCAATCGTATCTTTAGAAAGTAAGAAGATATTCAAAATGCGTCTCTTCATTATTTATTTATTAGAATCCAAGGCCAATAGAGATAGTTACACCAAAAAAGGATAAAAAATACAAAAGTAAATGGGACCCAATATGAAATGCCAAGGGTGCGAGTCATGCTCTGATAAGCACTGAAAATAGCCATTGTTCCAATATGAACTACCAAGGACACTGTCATGCCCTGATGGACACTAGAAATAGCCATTATTTTTTGGTCCAACTCTATCGAGAGGTGAGTCCCTTGGTGCTGAGTGCTCACAGGAATGTGGATGAAGGCGAGTTTGCTAATGGATTAAAACAAAAAGGACTGTTGTTGACTAGTCCTTCGATAGCTCCAACGACCTTTTGGATGCAGTCTGGGGATCGATTCAATGCAGGGGGTGACTTTTCTTAAGTTGCAGGATAGTGGATTTTGTAGCCAATTGAGTGTGAGGGGGAGAACTTCGAGTCTTCTTGGGACGACCCTTCCCTACAGCTAAGTATGTGGAGTCCACTGATGACTCGCCACCTATAATAAGAGCGAGTTGTGTCCAAAGTGTATTCTCGCAGGAGCGACGAGTCCTCTCATCTTGCGATATTATGTGTGAACCTATGGTGTTTACTTGAGAAGCTACTCCTGTTGTATAGCTTTATCGAGTTGGAGATGGCACCCCTAGGCGAGTTTTGTTGCCAAGGTCCACAAGGTGAGAGTTCGCCAATTGTAACCTCATAGCTAGCTATTATATATCTGAAAATGCATATGTGAGTATACATACAATTCTCCACTTGAACCTTTAGAGGGCGAGTAGCAAAAAATTACAATTGAATAAATGAAGAGCATTTATTGTAGCTACCAAACAATTAAAGGAAAGTAAATGCAAGGTTACTGCCTTATTTTTGTTGTAGCATCGATTGTCATGCAGATTTCTCAAGATGATAGTATTGTGACGCCACTCATATTTGGCTAATATAAGAATCAATCAATGCTTGAGGTCCTTACACTTGTGAATATTTAGTTGAACCTCTATGCACTGCGGATAAAATGGTCCCTACCAAGTTAGCAATGTCGAGTGCAAAGCTTGTGAGAATGGTTGCAATTCTCCTTTCCAGGGGAAAGAAGACGAAGGACGCTGAGATGGGTCCCCAAACTGAGCAAGGATCTACTAGGCTTGTTCCCCATTACTCGACGACGAAGGTGAAAGTGGAGCAAAGGTGACCGTCATGTCCCTGACAGAAGCTATGAACCCCCTGGATCCTGCTATTGGGGATGTGATAGAGGAAAATCAGAGGAAGATGACACTCTCCTAGAATTTTGAGGACACACCCTTGACTCTGTGACTGACGTCTGACGAGGCAAAAGTCCCTAGGGGACGTCTAATAGAGACAATAGTTACTGAGGAGGTAACCTCCATTGAGGTCGCGACAACCTCAGTAGAAGCAGAGTTGACCACCTCACGTAACAAGTAGGGCAAGTACTCCTATTTTTCTGCGCTCACTTGTGCAACCATATAAGGGGCTTATAATAGGGGTAAGCTGGGAAGCAAGATTTATTCATCAAAAATTGATTTAAAATGTTGTTGATGGAACTCCCTGTGTCAATCAATATACTATAGATTTGGTAGTTAATGATAGAAGTAATCACGACCACTATATCATTTTAAGGGTTCCCTCCAGAAGACTTATTTTCTTCACATATAGTGACTAGGGCAACGCCAACCATTGCCACCCACGAAGTGGATGCTGAGTCGACTTCACCTACTTGAAGCATCTCGGCCACTGTGGAAGGCTCAGCTCGTTCTCCTCCTATAATGACAGGCACTGCTCGAGCAAGGATGAGATTGTTCCCATTGCTCTCCATTAGGGCCTTATATGGGCTCTAACTAGGGTCGGAAAGTATGAGCTCCTTTAGCTTCCCACCTTGATGAAATTTCAACTAGTCTGTGGAGGCAGTGAACTCCTCAGTGTCATGGTTGTGATCTTTGTAGAATGAGCAGTACCTTGATGTATCCCTAATTTTTGCACTCGCATTCATAGGCATTGTGCGGTTAAAAAAACTACTTGTTATGGACGGTCTCTACTAGCTTAGCCATTAATACTCGGAAAGGGTGATTGCATGATAGTTGGGCGAACAGTGCATACTTTCTCCTTGGTAAGGACGAGTGGTGTAAGGAAGATCCTCCACCTTCAACATGGACATTCTAGTGATTCTAAGTGGCCTCACCCACATATTTGCTCTTTGATACTCTAGGATAAGATGATCTTGTTGTATCATTGGACTCCTACCAGACTCCTACCAGCTCTTCAATCTTTTGGGAAACTTCCCTCTTGCTCCCTTCTATGTTGTCGATCTCTCTTAATGGAAAGCTCTCATAAGATGGATGAATAAGACTCAACAACTCGGTTATGCTCCACTATGTTAACATGGTTGTTGGCGAGCTCCAACAACACAACCAACTTGATTGTTGCAAGCCAAGTGCATACTGGAACGTACCTTACATTAGTCTAAATGTCAAAGCAGCCTAGGAGGTGGTAGGCTCTAGCTCTTTCACCTCGAGCATCTCACTATGGAACCTCAAAATGAAACTTCATAGCGACTTATCGGGTTCCTGTCGCATCCTAAGGAGATCTTGCAAATTCTTTTGAGGCTTCTGGGGGCTCACAAATTGGGTACAAATATCTTTCTAAATTATGCAAAAGAGGTGACCACTCATGCGGGCAAGAGACTGAACCACCTAAGCATCAACCCCTAAAGAATCTCAAAGATAAGTCGACATTTCAAAGCATCATTAATGTTCAACAACTTTATGAACTCAAGTTTAGCAAAGTGGTCTGTTGGGTCTCCTGCCCCTGTAAAACTCCAAATGAGGCATCTTGAATTTTAGAGGCAGCCTCGCATTTGCTATTTCCCTAGAAAAAACATTAATCAATTCAAGCTCAGTCCTTCTTGCGTGTCAAGGTGACAAATTATTCATCACTCGGCATTACATGAGTGGGATCTGGATTGATCATCAGGGTCAGTAACCTACTTCCCTACCTTCTATGGCAAACAGCTGAGTCAGAAGATCTCTTAGGTGTGTTCTCCCACGGTGCATGCCCTCCCATGTCATCTTGGATCATTTTTGTTAACCATTCCTCTATTTCCATAAGATCACAATGAGTGGAGTGGTCTAGGTTTTCCACGTTCACAAATGGCTCAGGGTTGGCTTGTTTGTCAAGCTATGTTCACAACACCCTTTAGAATGTTGAATCTAAATTTGTCCGTCCAATCTTACTAGCAGGCAAGCTCAAGAGATTGGAACCCAAAAACCTATCATGAGTATGGAAAGAAGATTTTTGGGGGTAAAGTATTTCAATAGCTCAGTAGTATCACTAGAAATATTTAGAAGATCTAAAATATGATTGTTTACCCTCTGAGGCATGCATGAAAGATTACACCAACAACAACAACGATGATGATTACAACATCAAGCTTTTATCCTATTACGTGAAGTCGGCTATATGAATCATTTTTTCTCTGGGGAAGGTTAAAGGACACAAAATATAATAGTAAGTGGGACCCAATCCTATGACACGTTTCATGCTCTAATTGCCACTGGGAATAACCATTGTTTTATGGTCCAATTCCATCCAAGGGCAAGCCCCCTAGTGTCGAGTGCTCACAGACATGTGGACACAAGCGAGTTCATTGATGGATTAAATAGAAAAGACTTTTGCTAATGAATCCTTTGGCGATGATGACAACCTTTTAGATTGAGTTTAGGGCTACCTAATGCACGGGTGAGTCTTCTTGAGTTGTGAGAATAGTTTACTCTATGGTTGGCTGAGTGTAAGGAGGCGAACTTGAGTCTTATGGGGATGACCCCTCCTTGCAGCTAAGTATGTGAAGTCCAATGATGACTCGTTACCTGGGATGACGACAAGTTGTGTCAAAAGTGCACTTCTTGCATGAAGGTCGAGCCCTCCTAGCCTGCAAAAGTCTACATGGATCCAGGGCATTTCCCTAACAAGCGCCTCACTTCAAATAGCTTTGTCAAACTAGCGACGGTATTCCTGGACACGTCTTCGTTGTTGAGGTCCTCAATATGCGATTTCACCCATTGTAAGTTTGTAACCTATTAGATACCTATTATGCACCTGAGAAGGAATATACAAATATACTCCTCATGCTGTAGTGAAATTGGTGATCACAATATAGTTCAATCATCTTCATCAAGTCTTATCCTAACTATTTGAGGTCAGCTTTATCAAAGGAGCCTTGATGGATCTTTAAGTAAGATGGAGCATAACACTTACCCAAAAATTATGGTACCTAAGTACAAAAAGTAAAAAGGGATAAGCATTTAGAATATACTTGATGCGGACATCGGATCATGAAGATTTTCAAAGGAGGAGACGACAATCGACGGCCGAGATCATTCCACCTTATCTTAATTTGTTATTTGTAATTTTTATTTTTATTATGAATTTTTCGTTTTTACCCTTACTTAAGAGGGTCGTCTTATGTAAGCCCTAGGGGCATGTGTCTAGTTTTAGTTTCTTAGGCCTATATATAGAGGCCCTTGCTTGTGTAATGTAATGTTGGATGATTAATAAAATTTTGTGTTTGCACTTGTGTTCTTTGAGAAGAATCTTGGGTGAGATTCCTATGGGAGGAATTCATAGCTTCCACCAGCTGCAGTATGTGTCCGGGCTCGTCGCCTGAAGTCCCTTGGTGAAGGGCAACGTAGTACCCGTCAGCTACAGGATGAGTCCAGTCTCACCAAACAGCCGGCCACCTTCTTTCCCTTTTTCTCCACAAATCCCTAATTTTTCCTAATATTTTGATTTCAATTAAAGCAAGAAATTCAAATCTCAAATGTCCCCTTTTTTCCCTTCTCATTCTACATCAATACTTCAGTGTGGTGGTACAGGTAATAGGGAATTGGGGAGGGGAGGAATTTGATAAAGAAAGAAAATTAAATAACAGAGCACTGGAAAATAGGTTGGAACATGGAGTGCCAATATCATTAACAAATGAGCAAAGAATTTACATTCACTATAATCAGCAAATGAAGTTCAGCAAAGCCCGAATAAAAGTGTAATAAGCTAAGAATACTTCAAAAGAAAAATTGATCAAACTAAAACATAGGAAACAATAGACTAACCCTTTCGAAGAATTCTCAAGCAAATGTAAAAGTTTCATTGCATCACCATACCGCATCCCACTAGATATAGTTGCAATCTACAGAAAAGAAACAAGAAAATAGGATTAAGCAGCAACAAAGGGGCTAAATACATTGTTATAGCTAATTCTACTTACTCTTCTCCATAAACTAACAACTGAGTTGTATTTGTCCACCATTGTTCGCTCCTGAGATTTGAATAACCTAAAACCTTGTGCAGCTTATTTTTTGTCAAGGTAAAAAAATTTCAATGATCATAAATCTAAGAATGGAGATAGCTCTCACGACAACTAAAAATATTACAATCCGAGTACAGAAAATTGATGCATTTCCCTTGACATCAAGCATTACACCTATATGAAGACCACATGTATTCAACATTGAATAATTTATAAAAACGTTCCAAGAAATAATTGCATGGCCTACCACATCAAGATTGAGGTTGAAATTAGCATGATATTATGTCACTGTAACAAGATTACGGAAAGTTGCTTAGAGGGTAATTTTATAGCTTAATAGTCAATCAAATCAATTCAATGCCATAAAAAACTACTAAGAAATAAATATCCGATGTTGTGAAAATATATTGCAGGCTTATTTTATTTCATCAGCTAGCAATTTGACACGTACGTAACAGAGGCTTGTACTGATCCTTCATGTAATGGTCAATTTGGAAACTTGTAGGCTTATTATGATCATCAGATTTCTTGATTGTGGAGGAGAGTTCAACAATTACTTGTGGTCAATTAACAAAAATGGTAGAATTGGATTCACCTTGATTCATATGATATTGAAGTTAAAAGGCCATTATAGTAAAATACCTGAATCAAAGAAACCCAACTAAAATGAAGCCATCCTCACAATGTAAATTTGGAGAATTATGTAATCTAAAAAATTCAGTTGTCATACGACTAAAGAGTTACTAAATGCATGAGGCTCCTGATAATGTGAGATCTGGGAAAGAGTTAAATGTAGACAATTTTAATCCTAGAACCCAGTATTGCAAAAAGATTGCTTTTGTGATTTGACACATGACCTCCAATCACAACAAAGGAAACATTAACATCGCTCCAAGTCTGGCATCATATCGCCTAATCAATATCAGCAAAATATCACTTGCGATTACAATTTTACTTTCTTAAATAATTTGCTCAAAGTTATCGCCAAAGAGTAGACATTTGAATAAAATGACGTATGTAACTAATACTTTTCACGAGCTAATACTATGTAACTGATGCAAAAAGAGGATACTTGTTTGCTCAAGTACTAGGCGATGAATAACACCATTAACAGTCTGTATGGACTCCTCGAGAGCAGTGATGATATAGCTCCGAGCAATTGCATCAGTCTGGAACAGTGAAAGATGCCAGCCCTGAGAGGTGATTGATAGAGGACTGCAGCCCACAGACCATGTCCAGTCCTACACAAAATAAAATAAGAAAAATGAGATATAAAAAAGTAAATTCATAGATACTATTGCATCCAAGACTTCCAAGCAATCCTCTTTTTTGCAGTATTCAACCTCAGACCAGCACTTTCGGAGGATGAGTCGTAGCCTTCAGTCAGAAAAGAAGGGCACAGCAACAACTCTTTTTAAATGAAGATTGAACAAATAGAAAAATGCAAGGTAAAATCCCAACTACTAATCCTAAAGAAACACTACACAAGCAATAAAACTTAAACACCACAATTATATCCCAAATACTCAATCGAAAATTTCCAATTTAGTGCCAAATGCCTAGAGAACAAATATATAAACATCCGAAGTAGACAACTTTCAGGAATATAAACTACCTTTATGAATGTGAAGGAGATTGTCCAAATCACTCATTTTACAGCATGAGAAAAAAATTAATTTGGTGAACCATAAAGTTTGGTCCTAGTTTTACAAATAGTATAGTGTGATAACAATGCAATACTTGAGCATCAAAGAGAGGAGGGGAAGAGCACTGGACTCCACCAATAGAAAGAGAGAGAAAGGATATGAGAGGAAGACAATTTTCAAGTCATTTACCAGCTTATATCCAAAATACAGGGGTAGAAATAATATTTATATAATAGGGTTATAAATATAGATCATGTATTATTAAATTTAATCCTAAATAATACTAATTCAAAAATAATTTTGTCGAAAAGGATAATATATTTTAATTTCAACTAAAATAAATCCAAAAATCTTCATTTTAAGGAAATAACAGAAATAAATCCTAAAATAACATAAATTTAATTTCCTATGTTGAATCGATTCTCTTGGAAACAACAAAACTCCTCTTCGAGTTATACAAAAACCTTTTTTGTTGGAATTTTGGCAAAGATATTAGAGGAGCTAGATGAACTGCATCATGAACATTTTTTTAATCTTCAACATGTACAAACTGAACAAATAAGAAGCTACATGCTTTGGATCTAAGCAAAACAGCACATCATACCTTTTCTTCATAGTCACATTTAAATAACATCAATGGTAAACATGAACTCCACTTCGTAGAAGTTTATATAATAATCTAATGTGATAGTCATGGATGGATTAAATCAATATGTGATGAAGAAGACATCAATTCAAGTTAGGGCACATGTATTTCCATCTGCAAGAGTTAGAGAGGAACAATAATGATCGGAGAGTTCTCAAACTCATGAACAATAATGGCCTCAAATAAAATTTTGTAGGCTCCAAAAATTTGACTTCCAATGCCCTAGCCTTTCCGCATATATTCTGGAAAAGTTTTAACAAATTATGTAATGGGGGTAATTTTTAGAAGGCAGATTGATTAGAGATAAGATTTCACCCTCATATGCAATAACTTTAAGATTTAAGCTTTAGTTTCCTATAGGCGAAAGCCCTATAATTAATTATCACTCCTGGTGATGAGAAAAAACTCTTGCATAAGGCTACTCATTAAGTAGATATTAAATATTTAGAATTAGAATTAGGAATTTATCATTGTGCACTTAAAGTGGATGGTTGGGGAAACGATGATTAACCCGATCAAGATCACAAAGTTTCGTCGTCTCGAGTTATCATATTCCAAAGTCTACTTAGTAAGATGAGGTAATGGATCCAACCTGACCAAAAAGATCTTTATCAACAGTCATGAGTTATTTCATATAAGGGTACCTTGTTGACCTAAGGTGAATGTTTGTATAAAGGACAAATTCAAATCAACCTTAGCTAATAAAGAATTTTGTGCCCTATCAATTATACCTTATGATTCATTACTCAAGTGAATTACTTATTGGCGAACTTACTAGCTTTAGCTATGACTGTAATATAGTGGAGTCGTTAGGCCAAGCCACCGGGTTAGAGGGCCTCGGTCATAACTGTTTATCACGTGGAGCCGTTGGGCCAAGCCACGAGTTCTATGTAGAGCCATTGGACTAAACCACTTATTAGAAGACCAGTCATAACCATTTATCACATGGAGCCATTGGGCCAAGCCATCGATTAGAGGAAAAATGTCACGTCCTTACTGCCAGGAAATTATTTGAAAATGAATCTTAACAATATTCTTAACTGGAAATTTGCTCATTATGAGCTAAAATTATTCTTGAGTTCATCACCCTCGCCAAATAGTTGCAAAAGGTGGATGAATTTTGCTTTAAGTTAAAGGTAATTAAATTTCACTTGAGATATTTTAAAATTTGATCAAAATATCCCCTAGAGGCCCAGACTATTCATGTGTGACTAATTTGGTTTTCAATGTATCACATCGTCTCAACTTCATCCCTCAACTATACAAAATTGATCAAAAATAGCCCCTCATGTAGTAATTGCAATATAAAATTGATCCAAATTTAGTACATCGATTATATAAAATTGATCCTAATTTAGTTAAAAGGGATTATTTTGGAACAATTTTGTCTAGTCTAGAGATTAAATTGGAGCAATGTAGACTACATTAATTATATGCAAATTGTTTGAACTTGCATACTTATATATATATATATAGGAAATGATCTTATGGTTTGAATGAGTAAAAAGAGTTCACGTACAATTGAAGCAATAGGTTATAATATTTATGCTTTATAGATGTTGTAACTAGTAAAAACTATGGCATGTATGTTGGATGTTTATATATATATATATATATATATATATAGTTATTATATTCTAATTAATATATTCCCGACTTAAAAATTTCATGCTTCCGGGCCAGATTATGACATGAAATAAATGCTAATGTCCACATTAACCCACCTCACAGTTGGACTAGTATCACCTGCCTCCCACAATCATTCACTAGCAACCCAACATAAGGTGCATAAGGGCTAGAAAACACTCCCATACTGCTTCATCATGGCTGAAAATAACCAAAATCTCTATCATTAGCCCCATCAAGAGGCCCTAAGCCAAAAGCCGAAGGATCTAATCTAATTCACAGTTGCTTGAGTAAGGGTAATTACTCCCAACCTCCACCAGCACTATCAAAACCCAACACTCACACCAGACCATCATTAATTAAAACCCCATTACATGTAGTAGGCCCAATCAGGTATATTTAGATAATCCATTTGGAACCAAGAGTTCCAATCAAACACCTGACTCAATTTCAACAAAACTCAACCTGTCCTCATGTCATCACCCATTGAGTCACATGTTCCCACCGATCACCTGTCTTTCCCTCACATTAATCATGCAATTATCTCAAGAACCTTACCATCTATCATCACTATAGCCTTACTTCAACCATCATAACTATAAACCTTGCCTTTTAATGCCATCAATGTTATTACCTTTCCTTAAAATCATCAACGTTGCAAGCCCTAAATCATTTTGTTGTTACCTTCATCTTGGTGTTAGAACGAAGTTGCATGCTTAATCTTGGCACAATAGACATATACCATAGCTGCTGACACTACGAACAGAATCACTAAGATCTATGCTCTACCACCAAAAATCCTATCATGATTGTCACCATTCTCCAATTCCAATTTCAATTTTATTGACAACCCCCAAACCAGAGAAGAGAAAAAAAAAGTATTATTCCTTTCATTTTTCTCTCTTTTTTTTTTGGTGGGATAGATCATTTCATCTTGCCTCTGATGAGATTACCCCCTATCAATTCCTTGTTGGGTTATTGTTAGTGTTGGTGGGACCGCAATAGATCTAGCTTCTCTCACGAAGCGCTACACTAGGAATTGAATATTTGGCATCCATCACAACAAACAAGTTTTAATCTAACCTAAATACTATTTAGATAGAAACGAGATAAAAATTGACAGTATCCAAACCCTCATTTGTCAGCCTGATAAGAGTGAATGAAGTTTATAATTAATACTGGATGAAAGCTCCAGCTAGAAATCAAAATAGTATTATTCAACAAGCAATAAGTCATAAAATGTTACCACTCAAAGGTGTTTATACTACATTTTTCGACATCCACATCAGTGACAGGCCATAATAAGTAGTCATTATTAAGGCTGACAAATTTAACAATAACTATGAAATTGAGCTATTAAAATAGAGTAATAGAAAGAAAAAGAAGAAAGTATATAGTTTAGCTTTCTAATTTGGTGTGAAGAGCACCAAATTGCATCAATTCTCCTCTTCTCCAGGAGAACTCGACTCAGATTCAGCGATTTTTGTGACTCCATTGTTCAATGGGAGGTAAGCATAGATGTCCAAAATGTTGAAAGTACAAAGAGATATTTAGTTCAAATGGAAGCTTAATGACATAAACTTTATCAGTAACTCATTTAGCTCTCGAGAAGGATCCCAACTTCTAGGGTCCCAACTTGGAATACGCACCCACATGAAAATGCTCTTCACAAAAGTGAATCATAACAAGGTAGCCCTCAATGAAAGTTTTGGAGTGTCGGTGCAGAGCTACATGCCACTTGTAACTACTGTTTGCTGTAAAGAGCTTGTTTTAAATCCAAGAACATGCTTTCGAAGTTGGTGGCTATATCGGGTGATAGTTTACTCTGACTTCTAGGCAAGACTGCAAGATCCACAATATGATTAAGAACCTTGTTGTAACTAATGTTGAAAGGTAATGCTACCATCGATAGATTAGTCAAAGTTAAATACAAATTCAACTCAACAAAGAATTTTGTCCCACAATTTAGGATGATCACCAGCAAGACAACAAACCATGTTGCTAAGTGTATGATTGACATCCTCTGTTTGTCCACCTATTTACAAATGATAAACGAAACCCAGTCGGGGTTTGTTTGGAGTCGCTTCTATAACTCATGCTAAAAACAACTGATAAATTTAACTCAATTGGATGTTAAACTTTGTTGAAAGCCAGAAAGCCAAACGATGACACCAAAGAAAAGTCGATAATGTTAATGGCATCAAATATTATCTTACATCCTACAAAGAGTGCCATATTTGAGAGTGATCAATGACCACCATCATGGAATTAGAACCCGCGCTTAGTTCGTGGGAGGCCTAACATAAAATCTAGATTATGACCT